CCCACAACATCCTCTCATTACACACAGGGTAAAACTGTAGGTGTACGATATACCGCTCACTTCCCCAGAACATCCTCTCATTACACACAGGGTAAAACTTTATGTGTACGATATACCGCTCACTTCCCCAGAACATCCTCTCATTACACATAGGGTAAAACTGTAGGTTTACGATATACCGCTCACTTCCCCAGAACATCCTCTCATTACACACAGGGTAAAACTGTAGGTGTACGATATACCGCTCACTTCCCCAGAACATCCTCTCATTACACATGGTAAAACTGTAGGTGTACGATATACCGCTCACTTCCCCAGAACATCCTCTCATTACACACAGGGTAAAACTGTAGGTGTGCGATATACCGCTCACTTCCCCAGAACATCCTCTCATTACACACAGGGTAAAACTGTAGGTGTACGATATACCCACACCTTTCTCTGAGACGGTGTAGCTGTATTGTCCGATACACCTACACTTTTTTATCATGATCTCAGATACACATGGGCGTTTTTGTACACCTCGAAAACATGGATTGCACACTGTTTAGTGCAATCGGGCACTGCTGTACCAAATAATGATGACCAATGAAGGGCTGTAAAGTCAAATATCATTATTATTATTATTATGCTAATATTTGCTTAGCGCTAATATCCAGCTCAGCTGCTCAAAGGGGCTTGTTTTTTCGATCATTGGTTCGTATTATCATTCTCAACTTCCTGAGGATTATACAACTCTTGCAGCCACTAGTCGCACCGAGTTAATGTGGCTTTCCCATCCTTCACGGGTACCCATTCACAGCTGGGTGGACTGGTACACATAGTCGCAGTACTTTGTCCAAGTTTACTTCACGTTGCTGTACCCGCGACTAGGTGTTTGGACGTTTTGCATGTGGCCACAATCTGGTCACTTACCAACGGAATCGTGGGTTCTTATAAGTACAAACTTTGTGTGACAACATTGAAAGTGTCTGCACACAAAGTTGACTCCAAGGTTTTTACACCCGGTCACAGGTGGGCTCGATACCGGCACCACAAGCTCGCTGGATCATTAGCTTGACGCCTTAGCCAGCTCGCCCACCACCTAGACATTGACTGACTGTACTGACTACCATTTGGTTTTAGACCAGTGTCAGCAAGGGTGGGTCCCCTCTGTACAATGTTCACAGGTATGCATTTATGGTTAGTGGCAAAAGAAACCCGCTTAACACATAGATTCTATAGATACAAATATATAAATAATGATGCTTCCATAATAACAGTTAAATTGAGAAGTTGCATGCGAAGGCAATACTTTAGTTTAGCCAGTGTGTTGTGAAAAAGCACACCTCTGAAACAATTCAGATGAGTGTTTAGATATGAACACAATGTCAGAATCAGGACACCCTTCATGAACACAGTGTCAGAATCAAGGACACCCTTCATGAAACAATGTCAGAATCAGGACACCCCTCATGAACACAGCGTCAGAATCAAGGACACCCCTCATGAACACAGCGTCAGAACCAAGGACACCCCTCATGAACATAATGTCAGAAACAGGACACCCCTCATGAACACAATGTCAGAATCAGGACACCCTTCATGAACACGGCGTCAGAATCAAGGACACCCCTCATTAACACAATGTCAGAATCAGGACACCCCTCATGAACACAATGTCAGAATCAAGGCAGCCTTCATGAACACAATCAGACAACCCTGTCAGAATCGAGGCAGCCTTCATGAACACAATATCACAATTAAGGCAGCCTACCACGCACACAATGTCGGAATCAGGACACCCTTCATGAACACAATGTTAGAAACAAGACATCCTTCATGAACACAATGTCAGAATCAGAACACCATCTCGTGCGCACAATTTCAGAATCAGGACACCCTGCCATGCACACAATGACAGAATCAGGACACCCTGCCATGCACACAATGACAGAATCAGAACGCCCTGCCATGCACGTAATGTCAGAATGAGAACACCCTCTCGTGCACACAAGGGCAGAATCAGGACACCCTTCATGAACACAATGTCAGAATCAGAACACCCTCTCGTGAACACAATGTCAGAATCAGGACACCATTCATGAACACAATGTCAGAATCAAGGCAGCATTCATGAACACAATGTCAGAATCAGGACACCCTGCCATGCACACAATGACAGAATCAGAACGCCCTGCCATGCACGTAATGTCAGAATGAGACCACCCTCTCGTGCACACAAGGGCAGAATCAGGACACCCTTCATGAACACAATGTCAGAATCAGAACACCCTCTCGTGAACACAATGTCAGAATCAGGACACCATTCATGAACACAATGTCACAATCAAGGCAGCATTCATGAACACAATGTCAGAATCAGGACACCCTGCCATGCACACAAAGACAGAATAAGAACACTTTAAAAAGTTCATGTTTCATCATGAGGTCGAACAGTTGCTTCCGATGTTAAAAACATTCATTGTTTATGAGGACCATGTTCATAGGGGGTAAGCCCTGTCTATGCTCAACCAGAAGTTGGTCGTCATCAACTACCATTCCCTCCATAGACAGTCGATTCCGGTAGAGAGTCCCAAACTTTGTAAGATTTTGATATTTCCAAGTAGTAAATGTTTATGAAATCGACTTGTCTTATAAGCTGAATGGTCATGGATTATAACACCTATATCATTTGGTCATAGCACGTTATATTTTGTTTACATTTGAAGCCTTTCTTGACACGTCTTTCGGCGCGAATCGGAAAAGCCGAGAAATCGACCACTTTCGACGTCTAGACGACATAATCAATTGAATTCATTTCACGTACATGGAAACTTCCACCCACGATTGAAAGCAAACGAACAGAAGCCCATTTCTGGTGTTCCCCGCCGCGATATTGCTGGAATATTGCTTAAAGTGGCGTAAAATCATACTCACTCACTCACTCACTCACTGGACACTCGATTGTGTTCTCTTTACCTATACATTTGTTGTTTTTCAAGTTGGTTGTCTGCGAAATGTTCTCCTCAATTCCTTGCCCGTTTGCTCTCATTATCAAACCATGGTTTCTTAATGTTTCAGAGGTCTTTGGTATGTCAGCAATTTCAGCTTATCTGAAAACAACGGAATGGGTCTGATTACACTTCTGAACGTATCAGTACAGAGTTCGTGAAATGAAGGTCAATGGGTTTAAGTAACATTTCTAGTTAAATACCAATTTTTGCATTGCTGGTTCCTATCCCATAGTTTGTCACACGTGGTAGCCACTCTCAATACGATGCTGGGCAAAGAGTGAAATATGTCTGGGACAGAAATTATCAGGTTGCTTTAAAGAAATATTAATGTCTTTCTCATTAATTCTCCTGTTTTCCAAGTACGTTCTTTTAAAAGAAAATCTCAGTTGCAAGCGACATTGGTGCTCTCTTGTTGTAAGAACATGTTTCAGGCTTTGAACAGCCCGCTTGTCATTCACGGATAAGGAACTCTTGCTCTGTTGGTAGCTTTGCAACAATTTGAAGTGTACTTTGTTTCCTACTATTTTGTTTGCTACTCAAGCACTACCCACAATCACAAAATGAACAACAGCAACCATTGCCTACTGCGCTATTGCAGAATTTGATTTAGATGTCAAGCATATTGACGGCAAAGACAACATTATTGCTAGTGCATTACCACAAGTTGCTTGAATACGGTCAGTTTGACCCATGCATGATTTGCATTTTGTTAAATATATCTCACAACTATCATGTGTAATGTTCACTCTTTGTTCTGCACTTGACAGATTTTGTAATTAATACATATAATCAGAAACGTTCCCCTGTCCGAAGGGTAGTTGGGGGTATATGGCAGTGGAATTTACAATATTGTTTGTATAACATTGTTTCAGTTGAGTGCATAACGTTTTAAGAATAGTTTTGTGTCAAGAATGTGAAACTATCTGATGTAAGCAGTGTTATGGAAGCTTCTCTATTTACGTGCTTTTGGTCTCAAGGGAATCTTCTAGGGCAACATAGATTAATCCAGCACAGGATGGACTTTATAAGAGGCAAGTAATGCCTCTATTGTCGCCTAGAGACAGCAGTTGTGTGAGGATTATTTTTTCACCCCGTACATCACGCCAAAGCTTATTTGGGAAGCTTGCCCACTATTGCTGCAAGGTGAATACTTTTGTCACTGGCTTGTTCAATACAGCTACTGTAAATGTACTGTAGTCTCTTGTGCACTGTCAGTGTACTTTGAAATAATTTGTATTGATTTGTAAATTCAGTTAATATTATAAAACCGTTGTTAATTGTTTAACCTTTCTTTGTTCCAGTTTTGATTCAGACTAATTTTTGTGGGATGAAGATTTCGGCATCAACTGTTGTTCCAATTGGGAAATTGACACATCACAATATTATTGAGAAATAGCGTGCAAGGTTAGCAAGTCGAAGTACTGTGTGGTCGGAGATATTAAGATATTTATGATATGCGATGTCTATTGTTGCGGATATTGTTTATGCATAAATGTAGTCAATATGCCATGGCGATTTTTAGAACGTGTGTTATTTATTCTGCTTTGTTATTTCCTGACCTGGAGTAATCCGACTGCTTAAGACATAGAATCATTAAGAAGCAGCAAGAAGTTGCAGGTGGCTGTGTGTTGGTCTCTGTAAGCTATCTCCGTCAACTGTAGGGAAGTATGATGTCTGTGTGAATAAAATGTGAGCCCAAAGCACGAAGATCAGTGACATTAGCTATCGGATTCTTCACGTGTCTAGATAATATTACGCCAAGGAACAACCTAGATAAAGCAAACATGCTACTTAGACTACCATTAAGTCACCTTATCGTGTATAAACAGGTATTTTGAAATATAGAATAAAAGATTAGGAAGGCTCTGAGACTCCATTCTGTGTAGACTGAAGTTTGGTTCTTTTTTAAATGTTGAAAAATAATAATCAGCTCAAAGTATAATATTTGTGTGACAAGTATACAAATGTGATAAAATATGTTTTCTCTGCTGAGGCAAGAGCCTGTTGAAGTCTATGTTTCCTGGGTCACACCCTCCGATACTCAGCAAACAAGATTCAACGATATGGGTCAGCTTGCAAGTCTATAGGCACATGGGTTATTTGCTTTCAAGATGGAGGACACGAACAGGTAAATGACGCAACCAGGTTTAAAAATGAAGCGTTTTTCACTATAATATCATCGATTTTCCTTAAATAATATCGTCTGGTGATTTTTTCAGGAGTCAAGTTTTGATTGTTTGTCGCATCAAACCAGAAGACGTTAAAAGACGATACCCGTTTTAGTTTATATGCATAGGACTACTCGTCTCCTATTCAGTCACTAAATAACTGTGTATGACTAGGGCATCCATGGAAAACTGGGACATGGTATCTTTATGGGCTAGCGCTCAATAACATCGGCATGTACATGCGCCGTTCTATGAAGAAGAAGAGAAGAAAATAATTTATTTGTTTATCAAATGCTGATTTACAAACACATGTGTACACTACACACACTGATATGTTAACGGCATCCGACATTAAATTTCGTTAAAACTATTCGTAAGTTAAAATAACAGACATAAAGTGACGTAAGTATTCAGATGCAATTGTTTTAACTGACATCCATATATACCAAGCGTTTTACACATGTTTCGATGACTTGTTGTTTAAAAATTGTTTATGCATAACCTTTTTCGCCACTATATGGCTGAAATATTGCCGAGGTGACTTTGAATTACTCGCACCCATCGAATACTATAGCTTAGATCCATGAAGATCGGTCTCCAGCAACTCATGCCTGCCTTAAGAGGCGACTAACGGGATGAGAAGGTTAGGCTCTCTGAATGGTTTATAATGTTTTGTCTCCTGAATGCAAAGATCAATGTTCATGGTACCAGTCAGTGGTTTGTCTGGTGCAGACTGCCTGAACGTGGCGTTAAACAACAAAGATAAACAAACAAAAATCAAGTAGTTATATTTTCAAACAATTTGTTCTCTCATTAGACAAGCTTCAGAGAAGGATGGGACTAGCTACTCCCTGGATGACGGGAAGAGACTACTGGAATTCCTGGTTGAAAAGGGTCTAGATAATGAAAGTCTCGTCCAGAGGTACGACGAGAAAAGCGAGGAGTACAACAAGGTATAGACGATCGCTAACAATATATTATATTCAATAGCCATCCACATAAAACACACAGACCGAAGGTCAAGGATTTGTCATCTGTAGGTGGCCCTGAACCAGAAACTAAAGGCCTTATTTAAGAAATACAGTTCGTTCTACCACCATGTATAGTGTAATAAAGCACACTTTCGCCCTGAACTATTATAGTTAAAGTACGAGGACAGTGTGCTTTATTACACTATACATGGTGGTAGAGCGAACTGTATTTCTTTTCTAAGATGCCTTTGGTCATGATTCCTGCACATGTGTAGGAGGCCGTACGAGGCGATGACAACGGACATGCATCGTGACGTCGCTTACATTGTGACGTAATGTAAAATGGTTCGATTACGAGGGGGCACACTAGAATGGCGCAGTGACGGGATAACGTCATTCAATTGTTACGTCATCAAAAAACTATACCTTTATTTAGGAGATAAACATCATGTGTTGACCAATTTCCGGGTGTTACTGAGTATTCCCGTGCTTCAAATACTCAATAACACCCGGAAATTGGCCAACACATGATGTTTATCGACATTGTAAACACAAAAGTAAACCAAAAGGTCCACACACGTTTTTGTGTCTGCACTCATTGACATAGAGTACGGGTAAAGCAGTGCAATGTCATCAGCCGGCCGTTTCGGCATCTGGAACTGCTCATTTGTGACGTCATTCGGACTTTATGTCACAATATGATTTGAATGACGTCATCTCCGCTGACGACGTTACAATACAATGGTGTGAGCGATGTTTGAATGTATTAATACGCAGCGAATTTCCGGGAATCGAATACCATTTGGTCATGTTTATCAACCAATCAGATTAAAGAACACAGTGACTTTTGGTATACAATGTCTGATAATGTATTTTTTTTCGATTGTTCTAACCGCTAGGCATCTTAGAATGTCTGAGGATGTATATTTTTCGATTGTTCTAACCGCTAGGCATCTTAGAATGTCTGATAATGTATTTTTTTTCGATTGTTCTAACCGCTAGGTATCTTAGAAATCTATATACTATATCTTTTCTCGTTTCATTAAACAGGTACTTCCCAATCCGGAAGTGATGACATTGACACGGAAGTGTTATTAATTTTGTTGTCGTGGTACCTATTATCAGAGTATTTCTTTCCGTTTTATAACTGCAGTACTATGGCTATATCTTTTCTTCAAACGGGGGTGATGTTAAACCAGAGCTGCTCATAAGTTTGATGTTAGGTAATCTGTTAAAACAGCAGTTAAAGCAATGTATTCAAATTACTCCACGTATTGTTCCAGATGCAGATTGTTCGTCGTTACATGGCACCAACTTCGATTGCGGACACCCTGTCTGCTCTGTATCCCAGCAACCGAGAAAATGTTCGGATATTGGATGCTGCTGCAGGCACTGGTTTGGTGTCCGTAGAGGTAGGTTTTGTCATACATGCAGAGTCTGTGTACATCTTAGACGGCGTTGTCAGAGGGCCGGTGGCGTTGTAGAGGGCATTTGATAACAGATAACTAGTACCCGATGTTTTCCCAAGAACCAAGTCATATTAGGGTCAAGTGTTGGCTAATTCGGCTAATGGTTTCTCTGTGGGGTGGGGGTGGGGTTGGGGTGGGGTGGGGTTGGGGGTGTGGGGTGGGGTTGGGTTGGGCTTAATTTACGAAAAGTATTGAAAACCAAAATAACATTGTAGTTATGGTAAGGTAGATTTCGTTTCGTCTTTGGTGTGTGTGTGTGTGTGTGTGTGTGTGTGTGTACGCCCCTGCAGTCTACGGGATATAGCTGAAATATTGTTTGACTGTTCCAGTATCCAAACACTGTGTAGAGATTACAAAATTATATAATCTTATACCCACATTCACTATGGCCAGCTTTTGTGCATCCTCGAATGGAATATTTACCGGTGACGTGTTGAAACAGTTTGTGATTTTCTGTTTCAGGCAAGGAAGCGTGGGTTTGTACAGATCGACGCCCTGGATCCGTCTGAAGGAATGTTGGAAGAGGCCAGGAAAAATAACCTCTACCAGAGGTACATCTGTGACGTTATAGGCGACAACACACTGGATATTGCTAACGGTAAGGGAAGACTTGTTGGAGTTTACAATGGCTACAGTGCTTATAATGTGAGTGTGGAAGAGTGAGTGAGTGACTTTAGAGTCACGCCGCTTTGAGCAATATTCCAGCAAGATCATGGCGGGGAACACTGGGAAGCTTCACACATTGTACCCATGTGTTGAATCCAACCTGGGTCTTAGGCGTGACGAGCGAGCGCTTTAACCACCGGGCTACCCCACCGCCCAACTGATTAAGAAAGTAGTCATCTGTAGATAAAATGAACCACAAATATTCTGGCATTAATCTCTATCTGCCTGTTTTTCACGATGATAATTTTATATTAGGGTTTATGCATGTTTTGTCAGTTTGTTGAAACTGTTTGTATGAACGTGATATGTGTTGTGTATATTATATATCAACATATAATGTTTCCAAGGGTGTTTATTACGAACACAGGCTTATTTTAGTCGTGTTTGTGTATAACATGTGCATTTATTTCTGGTACTTTCAGACACATACACGGTGCTCACATTAGTCAGCCTGACGTCCGAGATCTTGAAGAAACTGTCCGTCAAGTGTTATGAGGAGCTAGTGCGAGTCACGAAGTCAGGTTGGTAGAACGACATCGACAGTTCCGATGCGTTTTCACTTTGACCCAAAAGGTCTAATACCTTATGTTAACTTGTTGCAGTATAACAGTTTATGACATATACAAAACGGCAAAAAATATTACCTTTCATAATATCAGGTATTGTGGGGCATAAACTATTACTATAGAGTATAGAGCATTACGTTTAATAAAAACAATAGATCATAGAGTATAGAGCATTACGTCTCATAACAACTATAGATCATAGAGTATAGAGCATTACGTCTCATAACAACTATAGAGTATAGAGCATTACGTTTAATAAACACCATAGATCATAGAGTATAGAGCATTACGTCTCATAACAACTATAGAGTATAGAGCATTACGTCTCATAACAACCATAGATCATAGAGTATAGAGCATTACGTCTCATAAAAACCATAGATCATAGAGTATAGAGCATTACGTCTCATAACAACTATAGAGTATAGAGCATTACGTCTCATAACAACTATAGAGTATAGAGCATTACGTCTCATAACAACTATAGAGTATAGAGCATTACGTCTCATAACAACCATAGATCATAGAGTATAGGCCATGGAGATCAAGGACCTAGAGTATAGAGCATTACGTCTCATAACAACCACAGATCATAGAGTATTAAACATTACATCTATATATCGCAGAGTAATAACCGTTATAAGCCACTACGTTTCACAAATCACTAGCTGTTGGGGCTTTAAGTCATTACTTTTGATAATATCATATATTTTACGCGACCAAAAGTCTTACGTTTCATAATGACGTATATTTCAGTTCATAAACCTTTACATTTCATAATTTCATGGAGGTATTGTGAACCATAAACATCACGTTTCATACTACCCATAATATCAGGTATTTTGGCCTATAACCAGTACGTTTCAAAACACCATGGTGTTTTGGGTTTCTCAAAAGCCAGGAGTTACGTTACACAAACCAATGCTCTAAAATGGCACGATAAGGCCATATATAAAAATATTCTTGTTTCTCATTCGACCCGACCCTAAGATATTTTTGAATTTTTACAATAGAGAAAATGCAATTTTGACTCTCAAAATGTTCATGAATTTTTCACACTTCTAAGTTTAAAATTTTCTATTGGAGAAAAGGTTTAAATTTACACATAAATCAAAAATTTAGACATAAAATAAAATATACAAATATAATCCGCTCGCCCGACCCATATTTTTTTAAAAAGTGATGAGAATTTTTATTTTTAGGTGGCCTAATAGTGCCATGTTAAACTTCACCAAACCAACACTTTTTCTCAACTATGAAGCATACGCCTCGATTTAGTGTTCGTCCAACAGCAATCTGACTATTTATTTCTGAGATATCATCCGATATCCGGGTTCATCCGAACTCATCCACTCTCAACAAGGTTTTCCTTTATGCCTGCAGGTGGTTACATCCTGATCAACCACTATGACTACATCTTCGACACCGACGTGATGAAAGCAAATCTAGCTGACCTGGAATCCCGTGGTCTGTGGAAATTGGCAGACCGGCATTATGTAGAAGAACCGCACAATGGGGTGCGTCGGTGCACGTGTATATATAAAGTTGCATAGTCGTGTGTTTGCTTGGAGTAGAGTCAAGATGACCACTGAAAGTAATTAAAGGTAAAACGGCCAATAGAAAAAAGTCAAAACGGCAAGTAGAAGTCGTAAAAACGGCTACAGGGAACTACAGGCTTCTCTGCCTTAGTTGTCCTATATTGGGGTAACTGGTTGGTTGGTATGTTACAGTGTTACTTCTTATACTGTAATGACAAATGAAAACAGGTCTCTTTCGTAGTTCCTGACTCACGTTCAAAAGGCGAACATGTCAAACTCATCCTTTGCAGTAAAATGTTTGAGAATGAACTTATATTACATCTTTCATTTTCTCTCTAATGAACTAGCTATAGTTGTCAGGTGAACTGAAAGAACAAAGTATTTATTACTACATACTCTGCTACATTTAGTATTGTACACAGCGCAAAATACGTCAGGTGTGAGGCCGTCGCATAATATAACAAACAGGTTTGGAAAATTTAAAAGGGGATACCGTTTGGGTCATTTTGGCTTTGACGATTGATCGTTTTCACTTCTTAGTCGTTTTGATTCCTGAGCTGTTTTGCCTTTATTACAGCATGTTGTCATTAATATGCCATTCATCATGTATGCGCTTGAAAGATAAATTCTGTTGCATCCAGCCCTGTGTTGCCCATGGTGTTTTCGAGTTTTCCATTATGTTGCTGTAATCTAGATGCTATAATATTCAGAAAGAGCATCATGGATCTACCATTGATTCAGTCACACGTATATTACAGATCAAAGGCCATACAGATTGAGGTGATATATGCATTTTCTGCATGTCATGCTTTTAGAAAATCGAAGGTACCTTAAGATATAGATACAAATGTGGATGTATATGTGAGAAGAAGATACGCTATAGATACTCTAGTATAAATGTACAGGTACAACACCGGAAATATATGACTTCGAGAGATGTTCCTAACACTATGACAGATCATACAATGTAGATACATTGCAGGCCAGAAGAAAGTACACCTTTGAAAAGTGGATCTGACCAAAACATTTACAAACGTATCATTTGAAGTTGCTGAACTCTGTCTGTGTGTGTGTGTGTGCGTGTGCGTGTGCGTGTGTGTGTGTGTGTGTGTGTGTTTTGCCTAACAGTTTAACAATCCGTTACACAGGCTTGTTGTGTAATACATTAAGCCTGTTTCATCACTGGAAAATTGTTTTTAAAAAAAAATGAACTATCATTTTTTCGAAAATATTGCTATGTACAAAATTTTCCTCAACCGCGCTCTATGAAGATTTTTCTGTATCATGTTGGTAAGTTCGAGCGTGACTTAATTTAGACCTTAAAACGCTTTTTCATTTTTAAGAGATCTGCTGTTATACGATCAAATATAGATCAATATAAACTAACAAACTGAGTCGTGCTTATGGTTTGGTTTGGCGTGGTGTTGAACGCCGCACTCAGCAATATTCCAGCTATATGGCGGCAGTCTGTACATCAACCAAGTGAGCGAGTCTGAGCACCCGATCCCATTACTCGCCTCTTAGGACAAGCATGGGTTACTGAAGATCCGGGTTACAATTGGTCAGGCGACCGACGGGATCGGGTGGTCAGGCTCGCGGACTTGGTTGATGCATTCCATGTCAATCACTGTATTGGCTGGTCCAGACTCGATTATGTATAGACATATAACTGACATATTGCTGAGTGCTGCGTTAAACATACAAACAATCCAATGGAGAACATGTATTCTATTCATAGCCTATTGAGCCGATTTATACAAAACCTGCTTTTCTCGCATACACGTAGAAATGAAACATCCGTAGGTTACAAGATTGAGGAAGAACTGCTGACAATATACGCCATACAGAAAAGGCCCCCATCTACAGCTGTAAATATAAACGTCTAAGGTATTTAGAAAATTATAACGAATGTCCATGATTTTACGTTGTACAGGAATCAGGCAAGATAGAAGCTTGGGGACTACCAAGTCAGCGCCGAGGAAGTGCTTCTGTAGACGAACATGGCAATCAGATGGCATTTTGATATCGGTGTTCCACTCAAACGTTTCATTGATATGTTGATATCCTTTTATTAAGTTATTTAATATATGGGAAAGCGACCATTGACTTTTTGTTTTTCTGCATCGTGAATCACAATGATCAGATATACAAATCGTGTCACAGTCAGTAAGCATTCTTTAGTGTCATAGAATATTCATGAGTATTATTATGAACTACTAGATAGATGGCATGGCTAGGAGAGTTACCGCTGGGAATCTGCTTTAGAACAGTACGCGAGTGACATCGATGCTCCAACATATTCGGATAGCAGATCTAACATGCTGAAGTTTTATATTTTACTTTACTTTGAAAAAATGTCCGGTGATTAAGTTCATCGGAGTGTATACGTATAAACGTCGGCCTGAAATAATGAAATTACAACATAAAGAAAATTCAACCTCGTGTAACAGGTGCCTATCTCGCCAATGCAAACGTCATTGTCCTTCCCAGGCCTTCCAAATCCCCTGATCTGAACTCGATCGAGCATCTATTGAACGAACTTGATCGATGTGTCCGTAAACGTCATCATCATCCTCAGACACTTGCAGTACTTGCCAACGCCTTGCAGGAGGAATGGCGACCAAGCAAATATCTGTGTCGAGCATTGACGGCTGCAAGGTGTGGCGTCACCATGTACTGACCTGAACGCCCCCATGTGTTCACACGTGCAGTGAGTGAACTGAATTAATGCTCACAATGACAAAATACATATGTTCAGCCGTGTGTCGAATTTCCTTTAGCTATGTTCAAGCTTAATCGACTTATGTACAGTCACTTAAATACGTTTAATACATTTCCATATTTTTGGCCTATGCGTTTCTTTTTTTTGAAGAGTTTACATTCTTCAGCATGCACATTGTGTGAGTAGTGTTATTTGTCATGTTTCTCAATACAAAGCAGACAGCCATTTACCTTGATTGCCTCGTTCAACATAATAATGTGTTATTTACAGAACATATAAAAAAATGAAAAGCGTTGACAATAATTATATTTATTACTTAATTATATGAACACAATTTATCTCCTGCTCAAGCCATTAATGTTTGTCTATTTGTTCAACCAAACAGACCTTTAATTCGTGTGAGCGGAACGCTTAATGGTCGATGCATTTGCTGAAAAACAACCACATACATCAACAAGATTTAATTGTGAAACTGTGTTCGCACCACAAAGATGTGGATTGAAATGACTCGGGAAGACTAAACTGCGCCCTTGGTTTCTTGTTAATTGTGATTCTATCTTGTCAAGGCAATTAGAATTAAACGTTCGTGTCATGTACAACCAAGACGGATCTGTGCTTGTATGTGCTTATTGATGCTATAATGTCAGATGAGATGTATGTTCATGTGTTTGTACTAATTAGATAATTTAACATAATCACACTATAAAACACACGGGAAAAGTCGGCATTACCTTACAGTCTTTTGTATTTGTGCTAATCAGACTAAAGCATAATCATACGAAAGACTAATGTGAGTGAGAGAGTTTGTTTTTACGCCGCTTTTAGCGATATTCCAATATCACGGCGGAAATGGGTTTCACACAATGTACCCATGTGGGGAATCGAACCAGGGTCGAGCGAACGCTTTAACCACTAAGCTACCCAACCGGCCCGAAAGACTAAAGAATGACTTGAGAAGTCCAAATTCATATCTGAAAGACTAAAGAATGCCTTGACACAAGTCCAAATTCATATCTGAAAGACTAAAGAATGACTTGACACAAGTCCAAATTCATATCTAAAAGACTAAAGAATGACTTCACAGAAGACGAAATTCATATCTGAAAGACTAAAGAATGCCTTGACACAAGTCCAAATTCATATCTAAAAGACTAAAGAATGACTTGACAGAAGACCAAATTCATATCTGAAAGACTGAAGAATGACTTGACACAAGTTTAGATTCATATCTGAAAGACTGAAGAATGACTTGACAGAAGACGAAATTCATATCTGAAAGACTAAAGAATGCCTTGACACAAGTCCAAATTCATATCTAAAAGACTAAAGAATGACTTGACAGAAGACCAAATTCATATCTGAAAGACTGAAGAATGACTTGACACAAGTTTAGATTCATATCTGAAAGACTGAAGAATGACTTGACAGAAGACGAAATTCATATCTGAAAGACTAAAGAATGCCTTGACACAAGTCCAAATTCATATCTAAAAGACTAAAGAATGACTTGACAGAAGACCAAATTCATATCTGAAAGACTGAAGAATGACTTGACACAAGTTTAGATTCATATCTGAAAGACTGAAGAATGACTTGACAGAAGACGAAATTCATATCTAAAAGACTAAAGAATGACTTCACAGAAGACGAAATTCATATCTGAAAGACTAAAGAATGCCTTGACACAAGTCCAAATTCATATCTAAAAGACTAAAGAATGACTTGACAGAAGACCAAATTCATATCTGAAAGACTGAAGAATGACTTGACACAAGTTTAGATTCATATCTGAAAGACTGAAGAATGACTTGACAGAAGACGAAATTCATATCTGAAAGACTAAAGAATGACTTGACAGAAGACGAAATTCATATCTAAAAGACTAAAGAATGACTTGACAGAAGACCAAATTCATATCTGAAAACTGAAGAATGACTTGACAGAAGACAAAATTCACCGTGGAATGTGGCCAGTATCAATGAATGACATAAGTTTGACAATTTCAAAATCTGTGAACTTAAATTCACTTTTCAACATTTCTGCAGTAAAATCGTTGGCGATTAGCCCATCTACCTGTTTCTTTTGAAATTTTGAAACATGTTTGTCCAGTTTTATTGACCTGAGAGTTTTTGACATACCCTCTATTGTCAGGTCTTTTAGATGACTGGGCAGTACTTTGGTTTTACCACTGCGCGGTGGAAGCTGAGGAGTAGAGGCGTCGTCACTTTCTGTCCCCTGCACTTTGCTCTCATTGATGGCGCCTGCATCCATAGAAACTGAACTCGATCGTGGGGGAAGTTTCGGTTTGCTGCTGGTATCCTGACTGCTTGTACTGACACTCCTAGTGACTTTTGTTACACTCCATCTTTGTGCATCATCTTTGGTTTTGGTTTTGGTTAGTTTTTTCTGTAGCTCGGATATCATGGATCCTTTGGGTGGATATCTCTTGTGGAAGTATGGAGCAGCATACTTTTCATCATCAGTAGCGTTGCCTTGTGACAGGAGAGAGAATGTGATGTATTCTGAAGGCTCTATGTAGGAATAGATGTGGTCCTCTTTATCTACCACGGAGCTGTCCGAAAACACTGCTATCTCTGAAATACATAATAACCCCGTACAGTATACCAACATTTACTACAAACTTCATTTAATCTAATACATAGTGCGTGCATATTCGTTATAGGTTGACATCTGCCTTGGTTAAACTTGAACCAACTCAGTGATTTTAGTTATTCAGGTCCTAACTTGAATTCAGTTAATTAAAAGAAGCACTTACCTCTTACAACATTCTGTTTGTTTCTTGTTTAACGCCGCACTCAGCAATACTCCAGCAATATCAAGTGATCACCATCATGAGATATATGTAGTTGGGATTAGATGACATGGGTCATCCAAGTCAGCAAGCCTGACCACCCGATCCCGTTAGTCGCCTCTTACGACAAGTATGGGTTCTCTTTCAACAACTTCTCGAGTGGTGTTGGACTGAATTGTATATACTGCATAGTTTAAATCAGAGCTTGGCTTCTTGGTGGCACCATCAGTGACAGATTATGTTCTTACCTTTATTCCCCATGTTGGGAGGAATCTTGACGTCTTTCAGCGACGCTTTCAGTTGAGAATACAGGGTCTTCCACTCCTCCTCCCCCATCGCGACGACGCCCTTCACCGTGGACACACACAGATCATCAATGTACAGCGGCACCACCACCGGACTCATGTCCACGGACCCTGGAGAATGAGTGAGTAAGTGAGTTTTACGGCGCGTTTAGCGATAATCCCACTATTACACGGTGGGGGACACTAGGAATGCGCTTCGTGCACAGTGCCCATGATGGGAATCGAACCCGGGTTTGTGGCATGATGCACAAACGCTTTAACTACTAGGCTACCATCCCCTAGCCTTGGGAATACCCGTATTGAATCACTGATCATATGAACAAAATTTCAATTATTCTCGATTTGAAAATTCAGAATGCTCGTACGTACATAAACCTGGTAAGGGCAGAAATCTTCTCTTCACCCATGCTAGCATTGTTCACCAACAATTAACCATCATGATGATACTATCACCCGTACGTACGTTTTCCGTGTAGTCAACAATTTGAATGTTTTTAATGATAGTGATGGTCGGAAACTACCATGGATAGCTAACTTCTATTCAACAGAACCTCCCTGGGATACGTTGTTCGTCTGCGCCAACGTCCCGTAACAGTTCGGAATCCTGACTCTTTCTATCATTGTCAGGGGCGGTTCTGGATCCAGAGGGCTGCTATCAAGGCTCTCGTCTACAGAAGCCATGATGATGCCAACCAGTATTGGTCTGCAGGGTCTTATGCCTCCTTACTGACTTCTCCCGACGCCTTCTGTCTCAACAAATGATTAAGACTTACGCCCGTAGACTCCATTGGCTATGATGAAGGTCTCCTCGTAGATGTGTGACAGGGCGAGATTACTGAGGTCCTTGGCCTTCTGTTCATCAGATCCGATGTAAAAGGCGACGTTAGCTGGGGCGGAAAACCTGACCTGGACTGGCAATTTGTTCTCAAGGAGGATCTGTTTCATCGTCTGTTCTGGTCCCACTGAAACAAGGGTTTGGGGGGACACATCATTTGATAGTGTCACATTTGATACCATCACATGATATTAAAATGAAGAAGGCCTGATAGACGTGGATGTGGACGTGGATGTGGCCGTGGAAATAGGATATGGATGTGGACGTGGACACGCCCGCGCGCACGTATGTGTGTCTGTGCGTGAGCGTGCCTGCGATCGTTTGAGAGAGAGTGCTCGTATTTGTATCAACGTGTTTGCGTGATGTGTGTTTGTGTGCTGGAACGGTTGTCAGGATGTTATCATGTATATCAGCGATTCTGCGTATGTGTGTGTGTGCGTTAGAGATCGTGAGGGAGGATGTTGGCATTTGAATCAACGTGTGTTTGTGTGCGTGATTTGTGTTTGTTTGAACGTTGGTGTTTGTATCAATGTGTGTGTTTGTTTTTGTGTGCGTGCGATCGTTTGTGAGGATGTTAGAATTTGTGTAAAAGTGCATGCGGGAACGTTTTACGCCGTTAGCAATATTGCAGTAATATCACGGCGGGGAACACCAGAAATTGGCTTCGTACATTGTACCCATGTGGGGAATCGAACTCAGGGACTTCAGCGTGACGGGCGAACGCTCTAACCACTAGGCTACCCCACCGCCCCTTGGTGCGATGGAAGAACAGGAATATCATATTGTGGTTATGACCGGTATGAGATCGAAGGCTCATGTAACACACCAACAATACCTTTACCCAACATTCAGCTGATAAACCGTGATATAACTGTTAAAAAATGCGTTACACCCAGATCACTCACTATCTATTATGATTATACTCATTTTCGCATGGACGACTAGAATAGCTGGAAGGAACATAATTCATGTAAGCATGAGTCTAAATCCCAGAACCTGGATCTCGTTGAATTCGTTAGATTCTAGGTGCACTGGACTTTTAAAACCATCGCGGTTGTCCATAGATATATATTACGCACAGATTCCCACCTGGCGAAGGTCTGGAAACTCGTAATTAAACAGCCCACCGTGACCGTCATTACGTCTTTGGCGATGACGTAGCCTAGCACTTACAACGTACATCGAAAATTGGGGTTGAATTCTCCACGTGGGTACTGGAGTGCGTGAAGCCCGTTTCTGGCGTCAGCCGCCATGACATTGTTGGTGTATTATATTATGATATTATTAACAGTGGTTTAAATCCATATTCACTGTCTATCACATACTCTTTTGTCTGGATATGACGATCTTGAACTTCATGGGGTACTCCTCGGGGATGCTGATTGTCCTGCCACGTGAGTCCCGCGCGACCACCCGCCTCTGTTTGACGTAGCTGTGGCAGAACAGAGCCTAATGGGGAGAGAAATGATAAGGTTTCAATAGTCAATAGAAAAATGTATCTCAAAACGCCATTTAGAATGCCGTGAGATCAAACAAACGTTGAGTCACGATACGAGTAATACTGCCGATAAAATCTTAACTCAGACACCTTACCTGTTCCACAGAGAACGTTAAGACGATCTACCTGTCCATGTAAGAGTATAAACGCCTTACATGTTCAGCAGTATAAATATGCAGACACCTTTCCTGTTCCACAGAGAACGTAAAGACGATCTACCTGTCCATGTAAGAATGTATAAATGCCTTACATGCTCAGCTGTATAAATATATAGACGCCTTACCTGTTCAACAGAGAAGGTAAAGACGATTAACCTGTTCAAATGAGAATGTATAGAGACCTTACATGTTCAGTAGTATAAACATATCGATTTACCTGTCAAACATATATATTACAATCACATTAATATATAAATGCCTTACGTGTTCAGCACAGAATACATAGACGTCCAACGTGTTAACCACAGAATTACAGAAACAGAAACTTGCCTGTTCAGCGGAGAAGGTTTCGAGGTCTGTAAAGCCGTAACACCCCTGTGTGACTATAACGAATACTGGTAACTTCTGTGAGAACCGGTCAAAGAACTCCGGCATAGAGTAGTTCTCCTCTCTGGTTTCAAACTGTACCATCTTATACAGGAATTCCTTCGACGCCATGTTTTCTGCGAATGTCGGTGAAATGCATTAAGATTGAATCGTGAAAGTGTATGTCTTAAATGAAAGGGGTTAAAATATTGCCATATGTCGTGCAATCATTCCTGATTTCGAGAAACATTAAGGCTATTTAAGTAAGATCACTGAATTTCTTAATAAAATGCCCCTCAGCAACACGGTTCCAAGATTGTATGTACGCTTCACGAGTCTGTTTGTTTAGCCTGACCCCAAACAACAACACAGGTATATCCCAGCGTGATCCATGGTGTGAAGTGTAAACGGTGTGGTACATACAGCGTGGTGACAAGTTGTACAATATCGGAATCGCAGACTGACAAAGCAACAAACAATACCACTGTTACTCTTCTACTGACTAAATGTTTACTCTTCGCCACGAACCAAAAATACCGAGTTAAAAGAGTGGCCGATTTTACCGTCTCTTCACTGCCTTTTCTGAAACGTTAGCGGCAATTCGCATAGTGTTATTGTTTATATATACTCAAACCTCACATCCTCTGTTTGTTAGGACGGGGATATTTCTGTTGACGTTGTGTCACAGGGTCGTAAAACGAAGTTCGTTGCTAAAAAATGAAGTATGCAACTTTATGGATGACAACTTCTTGTAGAATGCAAAGGTTCTTACATCGGTAAACAAGAAGTTGGCATCATAAAGTTGTTTGCTACACTGTTGACTCCCCAACTTCAAGAACGCCGATCAAACAAACAACAAGGTTCTTTGCTGTCCAATGACAGCTTCCTCCCCTATGACCTTCGTCCGATGGTCTTGCTTCATGATACGCGTTGGGTTTTCATTAAGGAGTTTGTTGTCCATAAATTGTATTCTCTCTAACCGTTTAGCATACTTTCATCACACAGTTCACACAGAGATTGTTCGTTGCACATACCAGAATTCCAAGTGTATCAGCAGACAAAGAGCCATTGGAATATCGCAGATGGGGGCTTCGAACAGACACATTGCCAGAACATTCGGAAGCACAAGGCAGACCGTCATCTGACTACTGCGACGCTTCAACCGGATTTACTAGACATCTGACAGTCCCACAAACAGAAGACCGAGAGTGACCACACCCACAAGATAACCATCATCTGCACATTTTCTGTTGCCTAACTGGCTGCTCACCGTGGCCTCATCAGCACCAACGGCGTTGGGCCACCGCTTCGGCAGGACCACAGTGACAGCGTGCTGTCGGCCATTCCTGAGCATGTGATTAACCAGTCAACAATGTTCAAGTGTTCAGGGCAACGACAGATGTATAGATTCCATTGATCCGAAGCGAGGCTCCACGAAACTGAACTATACCGAGTCGATCAAATTGTTGCAACCTTCCATCACTCTACTGAGTACGAGTTACTGCTCAGACGATTAGAAATCGTCTACATGCAGTATGGTGTACTCAGTGTCCATGTCATAAATGAACATCGACTTATCCTCCATAGACCACACATGGGACATGGTAGGGAGGCGTGTGTGTCTATGTCATAAGTCGCCGAGCACGTTTCGCCGAACTTGGTGCACGTGGTGCAGATTCCCTCAAATTGTCATTTGGGAGACATATGGAATATACATGTCGGTCCTAGTGAATGACTGAATGTTTTACGGAAATATTAAGCGACAACCTAACGACAACATTTCTCATCTTAACCCCCATCGTCCTATTCATCTTACCCCCATCGTCCTTCCCATCTTACCCCCATCGTCCTTCCCATCTTACCCCCATCGTCCTTCTCATCTTACCCCCATCGTCCTACTCATCTTACCCCCATCGTCCTTCTCATCTTACCCCCATCGTCCTACTCATCTTACCCCCATCGTCCTACTCATTTTACCCCCATCGTCCTACTCATCTTACCCCATATCGTCCTTCCCATCTTACCCCTATCGTCCTTTCTCATCTTACCCCCATCGTCCTACTCATTTTACCCCCATCGTCCTACTCATCTTACCCCATCGTCCTTCCCATCTTACCCCCATCGTCCTTCTCATCTTACCCCCATCGTCCTACTCATCTTACCCCATCGTCCTACTCATCTTACCCCCATCGTCCTTCCCATCTTACCCCTATCGTCCTTCTCATCTTACCCCCATCGTCCCCTCATTTTACCCCCATCGTCCTACCATCTTACCCCATCGTCCTTCCCATCTTACCCCCATCGTCCTTCTCATCTTACCCCCATCGTCCTACTCATTTTACCCCCATCGTCCTACTCATTTTACCCCCATCGTCCTACTCATCTTACCCCATCGTCCTTCCCATCTTACCCTATCGTCCTTCTCATCTTACCCCCATCGTCCTACTCATTTTACCCCCATCGTCCTACCACTTATCTTACCCCATCGTCCTTCCTGTCTTACCCCCATCGTCCTTCTCATCTTACCCCCATCGTCCTTCTCATCTTACCCCATCGTCCTTCTCATCTTACCCCCATCGTCCTACTCATCTTACCCCCATCGTCCTTCCCATCTTACTCCCATCGTCCTACTCATCTTACTCCCATCGTCCTTCTCATCTTACCCCCATCGTCCTTCTCATCTTACCCCCATCGTCCTTCTCATCTTACCCCTATCGTCCTACTTGTTGTACACAGGCTGGAATGGCCCTAAATCCGCCATTTTGATTTTATGACGTCATCATCGAACACCTGGCTGACCTCATTTCACAAGGGTGTCAATGACCTTGTACTGAGTTGACCTTGGATTAAACAACTTTTCCAAGAGGTATTTTTAGACTCAAGTGGGCAATATAAGGCCCCCGAACAGTCCCCATGTCATTCAGACTTCAATGCGATGCTCATTGTACAATACTGTGTGTATTTGTGACTATTTGAGAATAAATCAATTTTGGTTGTCATTGGTTGATGTGGTGTATAAAAGTCCTAACAAAAGGTAGGTGAAGGGAGAGCAGAGTGGCACAGTGGAAGCGCTCTGGGCTCATAACCCAGAGGACCGTGGATCGAAACCACGCTCTGCTAACAACATGTTTTTAGAATTAGGGCTAGCAGATATCTATATAAAGGACAGAAACGGTGATTTAGCTTCATTTAGCCGTGGACCCGTGATAGTGACACTTCATCTGAAACCTCTGTGTGAGAGTCAGTATTCATTCTGAACAAGATAATGAACAGACGATACTGGAGACCCTATTTGGACGATCCTAAGAAATGGACCAAATATTACTATTTGCAGGCTAAAGGATATCCCAATCCCTTTACTAACGTGGATGATTATGTGATCTATTATGAGAAACAAGGGGTAAAGATAGACCTAACCCTTCTACAGAAAAGTTTGCTCTCACGTCTCCAACCCAACAAGTCGTTCAACAGGCCAGAGCACGTATTCAGATGCAGGAGAACGGGGAAACTGAAGCCAAAATAATGACTTCCTCCCAGAGTCGCACAAAGAAACGGAAGACGTGTTTTTAGATAAAAGCAGCTAGTAGACAGGTTCTTTGCCATTTAGACTCGGACCACCATGCAGTCAGCAACGTGTCCCGTGTGCTATCAGACGTTTTCCAGAAGGGATGCCATGCTTAGACATCTCAGGAATCAACACAGACGAGCAATGCAGCCACCACCACCACCACCACGAGCACCACCACAACCGCCACCACCACCACCACCACGAGCACCACCACCACCGCCACCACCACCACCACCACCACCACCACCACCACGAGCACCACCACCACCACCACCACGAGCACCACCACAACCGCCACCACCACCATCACCACCACCACGAGCACCACCACCACCACCACCTATGATGCAACCAGTGCAACCACATGTGGGTGCTTTGGAAGAATGTAGACTGATACACCCCTTCACCATGATTGTCTCAGGGCCCACCTCCTGTGGGAAAACGTACTTAGTGAAACAGATTCTAGAACGCATGAACATTAAACCTTATCCTGAACGTATTATTTGGCTCTACAAACGATGGCAGCCCTTGTATAACACCATTCAAACCCATGTTTATCCCTATGTGGAATTTCATCAAGGCATTCCTTCTGATCTCGAAAAGGATGCGTTTCTGGACCCCCATGTGGTGAATGTGGTGATCCTCGACGACTTAATGTCGACAGCGGGCAAAGATCCACGCATTACAGATCTGTTTACGGAAGGAAGTCATCATCGTAATCTCAGTGATAGCCTTGAACCAGAATTTGTATTTCAGTAAGGATCCTAGACTAACAACTAGTCTCTGAAATGAACATATTTTACTGAAAAAAGTTCATAGTAAAAAAAATAAAATATAATGAAAAGGAGCCCTGAGACTTTCTTCCTGAAGCTGAGGAAATCTAGACTTGCCACATTCTCTAGACTTGTGTGGGCTTTCTTGGATATATTTGCTTCAGGGTCTGTACGAGAGACTATAAGGATCCCACACAACGAAGAAACTGCCATTATCTGCTTCTGTTCAACAACCCTATCGATCAACAACCCATCATGACTTTGGCGAGGCAAATGTATCCAGGTAACACAGACCGTTTCATGGAGCCGTTTCAAAGGGCTATCCAGAAACCATATGGTTACTTGTTGGTTGATCTAAAACCCCAAACACCTCCCCATTTGCGACTTTGCCCCAATGCATTCAGCTTAAAAGGAGACAACCAAGCTAGGACCATTCAGTCCGAGTTAGACTTTCGGCGTGAGCAGACGTGTGAAGAAAACCTCCCAACCATGCCATCTTGTGATGACTGTGGACTCATGTTTCAAGACGTGCATGATTTGCAAAAACACAGAAGAAACTAGTGTCCTGTAAAGTCTTCAGTGTGTCCACCGGGAATACCCCAAGTTAAAAGGAAGAGGGAGGAAGACGACAACTTCTCTCCTGTGAAGGCACCGCGTACACTGTCAGATTGTGACTATTGCGGTCAAGTGTTTAGCAATAACCACAACTTACAAAGACATTTACACGATAAACAATGTCCTGAAATGGAAAATGATGATGATGATGATGAATCATTAAACGAAGTCGCACAAAACAACAGGAAAAAAAAGATGGCTGATCTCGAAGAGCAAGGTATAAGACAAATGTATTCACGTACACGTGAGCTGAATAAAGACTTTTTGGATGAGAAACGACAGCTGTACATGAAAAGAGGTTTAAACGAAGACACGATTCAAGCCAAACTGAACAAATACATGTGGAGCACGTTTAAAGAGACGTATGCCTGGTTTATTACTTATCTGTTCCATATGCAGTATGGTCCAAAGACACAAGGAATACTGAAACAAGTAGGAGACACAAATAATCTGTATCATGATGTGTTTTCCAATCTGTACCAATATAAGTCTTGGGTCGAAGGCTTGACCGAAGATGATAATGCAGACATAACATCTGATGAAGAGAGTGAAGGCCATGACGATTAGGAACGGTGATAAGACAACAGATGTAAAGTAAACTTCTGGGAGCGCTCCTATCCCGTAGTTGTACTCGTTTGAAACGGAGCTAATAAAAAAATGAAAATCAGTTTATCTTGTTTTTTTGTGATGTATACCTCGTTGGGAGCCACATTAACTTAGTGCGCCTAGTGGCAGCAAGATGCTCCCCGGGGAGTTGAGAATGGTGATTGACATCCAAGGAAAAAGTTACCAGCCCTTTGAGCATGCATGCGGTATGGACTATAGTGCTATATAAATACCCATATGAAAATAATATACACCTGTGAATTGTCATTTATGATTACTCTTTCATGCTAACACTATACAATTACACCCCTTTCCTGATGGAATTTTAGAAAGTTGAAAGTTGCATTCCTAAATATGATGTACAAAAACCCCATGACCAGAACGCACATTTCAAAGCTGACACGCCCTAGCTAGCGTTCATTCTAACGAGCATTTATATTTATGGGTGTTTTACACTCACGAGAAATGTCGTCAGGCTATAACTGTCGACAGAAACCTCCCTCCCTCTGCCACAGCAGTGCCCCCGTCCCTCCCCTACCCCTCCCGCCACAGCATAGTCCCACACACGCAAATGTGGGTCACCAGATCGCGTCTCTGCTAGCACTGTGAGAGGGAGAGTATTTTGCACAACACAATCCCAGATATAACATATGTTCTATTTACATGGAAGGTGCAATATTAGTCTCATGTGTTTTGGTGGTTGATTCATTCAATACAATCACAAACATATGGGATTTGGGTATAACATCTCAATATCATCCCTGATTCCTAAATTTATCGCATTACAAGGCAGGATACAATGACAATATGGATTGGATATTCAAATATGGAATGTGAATACCGGTAAGTTTGAAATACATTTGAAATTCTATTGAGTTGGGTTGTTCTGGTGATGGTCAAGACAAACTCAAATCATTTTCATGTGGCAATGAACGCTGATTGCATTGAACAAATGTGTTATAAAACCCGTATAATTTCTTTTTTACACATATGAGTGCACATGTTTGACTAGACTAATGTTTAGTCTCTGAATGTATTATCTTGATAGTAACAAACAAACCTATTTAAATTGACAAGGAGCCCAAGGCAGACCTGGGGGAAATCTAGACTTCATTTAGAGCCTTAGCAGTGCAGGGAGGGCTAGGCTGTAGGCAAAATAATATGGGTCAGACACGTGAGACAGGCTAATGTTAGACCCACGATTTTGAGTACAACTTGAGGAGGTATCATATTACACCTCGGCTGAGTGAGACGAGGGAAGTGTGTGGAGGCTGCGACTGTTAATTCACCATGCCTCAACGGCGCGCGCTCTGAGATGACAGATTTTCTCCACAGGCCGCAGAAAAGGTTATTGAGTATAGAAAATATAAACATTTTGTAAGAAGACAAAATGATAACTTCAACTGACTGTCAGAGGGTTTTTTTAATAGGTAAAATTGAAACCGGATGAAACTAGTTTGTGGTCAGTGGTCCAGTCAGTCCGATAGTTGTTCTACGCTGATTGGTCTAAATTAATGGGATGATGTCATGGTGTGATGCTATGATGTGTTTCCCACGGGACGCGCGGTTATTGACCCCTCGGTCAGGGTGAGTCACACCGGAGTGAGTTTGCACACTCTTACACATGTAAATCTACATGACTACCCTGATGTCATTTTTTTTTCGGTTGCTATGCTCCTGATCTAAAAATACCGCTTGGAAAAGTTGTTTAATCCAAGGTCAACTCAGTACAAGGTCATTGACACCCTTGTGAAATGAGGTCAGCCAGGTGTTCGATGATGACGTCATAAAATCAAAATGGCGGATTTAGGGCCATTCCAGCCTGTGTACAACACCTACTCATCTTACCCCCATCGTCCTACTCATCTTACCCCTATCGTCCTTCCCATCTTACCCCCATCGTCCTTCTCATCTTACCCCCATCGTCCTACTCATCTTATCCCCATCGTCCTTCTCCATCTTACCTTATCGTCCTTCTCATCTTACCCCCATCGTCCTTCTCATCTTACCCCATCGTCCTTCTCATCTTACCCCATCGTCCTCATCTTACACCCATCGTCCTACTCATCTTACCCCCATCGTCCTACTCATCTTACTACCCCATCGTCCCTTCTCATCTTACTCCCATCGTCCTACTCATCTTACTCCCATCGTCCTACTCATCTTACTTATCGTCCCCATCCCCCATCGTCCTTCTCATCTTACCCCATCGTCCTTCTCATCTTACCCCCATCGTCCTTCTCATCTTACCCCCATCGTCCTTCTCATCTTACCCCCATCGTCCTTCTCATCTTACCCCATCGTCCTTCTCATCTTACCCCCATCGTCCTTTCTCATCTTTACCCCCATCGTCCTACTCATCTTATCCCATCGTCCTACTCATCTTATCTTACTCCCATCGTCCTTCTCCTTCTCATCTTATCCCCCATCTCCCTTCTCATCTTACTCCCATCGTCCTTCTCATCTTACCCCCATCGTCCTTCCCATCTTACTCCCATCGTCCTTCCCATCTTACACCCATCGTCCTTCTCATCTTACCCCCATCGTCCTTCCCATCTTACACTTATCGCCTTTCTCATCTTACCCCCACCGTCCTTCTCATCTTACACTTATCGCCATTCATAACATACCACCGGGTGTTATGGGTTCCCAATTCGTTCATTATTACCATACAACAATTACTAGAAAACTAATATTTGCTACAATTTAGGAAATTTAAAGGTTCCTTTCGAGAATCCGATGCTTTTTAGAGGACAAGTATCATGACCGTCTATGATATTTGCAATGGTTTGTGTTGGTTGGTTGTTGTTTATACCGCCGCACTCAGAAATATTCCAGCTATATGACGGCGGTCTGTAAATAATCGAGTCTGGACCAAGCGATCCAGTGATAAACAGCACGAGCATCGTTCTACGCGATCGGGATACGATGACATGTGTCAACCAAGTCCGCGAGCCTGATCACCTGATCCCGTTAGTCGCCTCTCTCGACAAGCATGGGCTGCTGAAGACTAATTCTAACCCGGATTTTCACGGGTGCAATGGTTTAGGTAACCCTCTATGATACACATGACCAGACTGCTGACCACATCTGCAAGTAATGATCAAACTATCAGGACCTTCTCCTCACAATCATGTCACAAACAGGTTTGCCTGTAGAGCTGCTGAATATCATTTTGCCGAGGTTATCATGTACACTACTTGACTATGCTCAATGTTTTATTATCGGAGTACAACTCAATGGTTTGTGTACATCTACACGGATTCAAGGATAGAAATATGACCCAGCAATTTAGCAGTCTTAGATGTCGTTTTGTCGTTAAACCATTTTACCTAGAACCATATCTGACTATTATAAACATCCTCAACGCCAGACAAAACGTAAAAAGCAAGAGAGATTATATGGAGATCTCCAATGGCTGAAAGAACTTCCGGGTTCCCCTTTAGCCGAGGTATTGCACGCATTCTTCCAGTCAATCGTATTATGAGATTATCCGAAATATAATTATAAACTGACCCTTGCAATATAGGTATATTTATGACACAAATGCATATAAAGGGTCAAATGGGTCCATGCCCAAGAAATATTGTCCAGACTGATAGTAGATCCACCTGTCATGCTAATGTGGTAGAGACAGACAGACACTCTACAGATCTATATCTAACACCACCAGTGACGTGGACTAGATTCCTTACCTGATCGTCCTCTCCCCGAAGAAGCGGGTTGTGTTCTGTATCGTTTGACAGTTGCTTGGCTCCCCCCGTCACACCGTGTAACTATCCTCCCGGTACACCGTGTAACGACACTCGCATCAATATGAGAAGTCTGGATCGCGTAGTGTGCAGGAGTTAAATATAGCTTCTCGTGACATGATTCACGGGACAAAGCGCAGGGAAAAGTCCCCTCATATTCATGCATTCCTGCACATAGGTTCTTTAGGAGAGACGTGGTGTGTGTGTACTGCTCTGCACCAACGTACGTCCACATTCAAGGGTCCACCCACAGCTCTTCATGGTTCGGCTGCACCCGAAACAACTTGACGTCCATTGTTGTCGGGGTATGGAGACTGGGAAGGGTGGAGTGAGTGAGTGAGTTTGGTTTTTACGCCGCTTTTAGCAATATTCCAGCAATATCACGGCGCGGGACACTAGAAATGGGCTTCAGATATTGTACCCGGTCCATCACCGTGACGAACGAACGCTTTAACCACTAGGCTACCCCGACGCCCGGTAGGGTGGAGATGGTTTGAGGGTGAGGGGCTGAAAAGGTGGTGAAGTGAGGTGAAATTGGGTTTAATGTCGTGCTTGAGAATATTTCGCTAATATAACGACGTGCATGCGTGTGTATGTGTATGTGCGGCTGCTTGTACTAGCACAGACTTAAGCTGGTTTTATAGTGCTAGCCCACTGACATACCATGCCGCAGTGAAGCATGAATACCCGACTCAGACACATTATACTGACTCCGAGCTGACCAGTCCTTGTTGTACCCATTAATGCCGAGCGCCAAGCAGGGACCAACAAGTACCATATTTTAAAGTCTTTTGGTATGACGCGGTCGGGGATCGAACCCGCGACCTTCCGCTCTCCGGGCGGACGCTCTAACCACTACACCACGGATGTGGTACCTGATAGGGTGGGGTGAAATGGGGTCTGAGTACGGATCACAAACTGAACGCTGCTCATTCGACTAGCACATTCTAACAGAGGTTTGAATGTTACAGTTTATATGCGCTTTTGTGTTTGTTACCTAGTCATACGTGGTAACATTTCAGAACATACATTCATTTATTTATATTTTAGTTTGTTTTGTTTTTTTTTTTGTCCACAGACACATTCATAAATACACCCCTAGATACCTTTCAAGGCACATTCATAGACAGACACAGATACATGGACACATCCCTTCATCCGTTCGTAGACAGTTTCGTCTATATTGTCCCAGTTTATAGAAATATCTTTAGACACATCCATTGATACATCTATAGACACACTTTTAGACACATTCGTAGAAAGACTGAGGGATATATCCACCGCCACATTAAACAATTCATAGGCACATCGGTAGCCATATCCCAGACACATTCACAGACTCACCAGTGTAGACATTTATGAATAATTATATACATACACAAATCCATAGGTACATCAATGTGCACATTAGCAGAAACACACACACATTCAAAGACCGCCAGAGACACATCCATACACAAATCCATAGGTACATCAATGTGCACATCAACAGAAACACAGACACATTCAAAGACCGCCAGAGACACATCCATACACAAATCCATAGGTACATCAATGTGCACATTAGCAGAAACACAGACACATTCAAAGACGGCCAGAGACACATCCATACACAAATCCATAGGTACATCAATGTGCACATCAACAGAAACACAGACACATTCAAAGACTGCCAGAGACACATCCATACACAAATCGACAGATGTCAACACAAAAACGTACAGGCACATCTCATATATTCATTCCTCTACGTTATGGGAGGACTGCACCGTATTTGCCCCCATTAGGTTATTCACCATCATCTCCTCTCGTGTATCATTATCCGTATACCTGGCATTCCTGGAACATACTGGTCAGTGCCGAGAGGCTGTTTTCTTGTACCATTATTTATTTAGCTCTGCAGTCGTGCGTTAATTTACATTTACATGAGTGAGAGAGTTTGAAACCTAACAGCCGGGTTAAACCTAAGATTCTTACCCCCGATCATAGTATACGAGTACCTAACTCCATCTCCCTGTGCCCCAAACAACCGTCCGTTTTGAAATAACCGAGAAGACACGGGAAGTCAATCCACGGAACATAAATACAAAGGGGCATGTAATACTTGAAAGAGTGGATACTGTGACGAATGTATTAATTAGATTAGTAATGAAACGAAGATAGTCATTTGGCATTTTTGCTTATTTTGAGGATTACTAAAACAAGAGAAAAGAAACTCAGTAAATCGATTATCTTTATCTGAGATCTCAAACTGACACGGTAGAAGATGACCTAATAACAGCATTCCACGAGTTACCTCCCCTTCAGGGAAAGTGACCCGCCTTCAAGGCGTCGTCCTTTGCGTGTATAGTTTATCAATCTGAATCATCTCCGAGATGAAGAAAAGTTTATCGTGGAGGATGTTTTGATGCCTACAGTTAACAAGATTTAATCTAGGTCAGCTGACCAATCTGTTGCACTGTTTCTCTTTACAATTTCTTCCATGTGATAAAAACTGCCTCTTCATACAATTATACTTACAATTAGGAGATAAACGTACTGTGTTGGAAACTCAGAGGGTATATAACGTGATTATATACCACTGAATGACTTTAATGAACTTGTCACAATCCAGTATATACTGAAGTCATGGTATTATGGTTGTTGGCCTGGATACATCTGAGGTTGGATGTGGTCATTATCCAGGTAATGTAGATCAAATTATACATTCTAAAAGGTTTTAGAATTTTCCAGTTGTTAACACATTTTAAAATGCTCATCAACATTATTTCCAGTTACGGAGTATTACCTTGTACTACAGGATGCTATTGAAGCGACAACTACAGCTGTACACTTAGCCCATATAAACTGATGTGCAAAGAAAGCACACAGGTTGTGTTTCTTCCAATAAGATAAAAATAACAAAACATTTTGATGAAATGGAAAATGTATGTTGAACCACACTGCAATACACGTGTTTTATCAGCAAAATGACATTGTAACAATAAACAGCGATGTAGTGATGACCACTGCAGACGGTTCCTACGATGCTGGAAGGTCAAGGCCATTCCACGCAGCGGTCGATAGGCCCATACATGCCAGCAGGACGAAGTCGTCTTGTCACTGTGAATCGGCTTACGCGATGACCCAATGATGTGGCTGCTGATGACGCCACCGTCAACATCCAGTTGCGTAGGTGAATAACCCGCAGATAGCGATCCTCTTGGGGTGTTGTGATTCTGGAACGTCCACTTCTGGGTCGATCACATGTCTGGCCTGTCGTACTGAAACGGTTAAACAGCCGAATTATGGTTTGTCTTGTGCAACCCAATGTCCTTGCAATATCGCTGTTGAAAGCACCCATTTGTGTCATTCCTTTGGCCCGTTCTCGTTGCGCCGACATCGATCTTATTTCCTCGTGAGATTTCTGTCAAGTGATTGTTCAGTCTTCACGACAAACAGGTTTTATAGTCTCTGTCAGAAAAGTGCTGGTGCATGGGACAATAATCACAATTTTGCAAAAATTCGTGCAAAACGCGTACACATGTTTTTGGTTGCATTTTGGCAAATGAAACATGACGGTTGCATTCTATACAATCAATGTTTTTCAATAACTTTATTAGTTAGAACGCATATGTGGGATTGCAACAACAATTACACCTGTGTACTTTCTTTTGCACGTCAGTTTATTCTGTATGCTTATCTCCCCTGCCCTTGTCAGATCATATCTCCCAGTGTGCTGGCTGGGCCTACATGGCTCACTGGTTGTTGTTTACTGCATATACCGGTAGGACAGCTCAAATATACACCTTGGGTGCATGCATTCAAAACCCATTTGACATATTCACAACAGAGCGTGAGACTGGCTCATTATCATACATGCACTCAATAGGGGCACGTTCAAATCACTTCTCAGCCCCAAAGAGGATTACGTAACAGTGCAACGCGGAAGTTGCTCGCCAGTGTGTTTGTGTGTACAGAGGGTGGAGTATACCTGGCCTGTTGATAAGGAAGACAACAAAACTATCTCTCCCTGATCCGACATGCTAGACGGCCTTGCCTGCACCGAATAACCACATAGTGATTCATATACAAACAGGGGCGGTGGGGTAGCCTAATGGTTAAAGCGTTCGCTCGTCACGCCGAAGATCCGAGTTCCATTCCCCACATGGGTACAATGTGTGAAGCCCATTTCTGGTGTCCCCCCGCCGTAATATTGCTGGAATATTGCTAAAAGGGTCGTAAAACTAAACTCACTCATTCATATTAACAAGTTACAAGAAGAACTTGTTTCGCCACGCGTGCACAAGGTGTCCAAATGTTTACAGATTGAATATAAAGAACGCAAGTCATTAAATGGTATTTATGACAAGAAAAAACGTGTACGGTTTTGCATTTACATTTTACGAAATATTTTGACTTACACATCGTGACGAATTCAAGAAATTCGTCTGCTTATGTTACAAAGTTTTCTGTTTGTCAGCCAATCAACACGCAAAGATGGTTGCGTGAAAATGTTGGATTTGAGTACAAGAGTGATAATTTCTGATTTTGACGCTTTCAAGGTATATCGATTAAACTCTTCTATCGTTATTTCTGTTACTCGTACTGATTCTTCTTATTATATAGTTATGTTTTACTTGATTCCATTCATGGTTTGTGTATAAACTAGCGATGCAGAACGTCAACAGGATGTTGACATACAGTGCGACCCCGTTTACCCGGACCCCAAATATCCGGAAACCTCACCTTCCGGTCAGTTTTCAAAAAACCCCAATCTCTTACGTTATAAAAGTGACTGTCAATGACGGATATGCGGTTTCCGTTCCCGGACGGTAAATTTTACAAACCAAGGGGCTAAATCAGCGCTGGAAACTGGAAGTCGGACTGGGTGACCAATATGTTTAATGTTTTTGTCTGTAATTAGCAGACTAAGAAACAAAAATGATCAACGACAAGAAGACACAATCGATTGATCCGATACAAGACGAAATCGAACTAGAAAGACGAATTATATTTATTTAAACTTCCATCAAACTACTGGAGTACGAGTTACGGGACAGACCATTATAACGTGTCTACACGCAGGTCGTCTGTATGTGCAAAGGCCAACATTATTAATAACTTTCAACAATCATAACAGCACAGACAACGGAAGAGAGTGGTACAATATCACTCAAAGCTCTTAAATAATTGTAGCACGCACCGGCAAATTTTCCTTAGTTCTCGATAGTTCAGTAACTCCGGATGCACCATCAAAGGGCGTCAACCCATTACACAAGACCTCTATACCTCAGACCACTGGTCTAGCCAGCTACTCACATACATTCTACATAGAGAATACTACACGAGGTCTCATTACATACGAATTATACGAAACTCGTGTCCTTCCTATGGTATCTGACCGGGCGAAAGCGAGGTCAGGAACCATACGAAGGTCACGAGTTATGTATAATTCGTATGTAATGAGACCGAGTGTGGTATTTTATTTATTACCCACGTATTACATGCATTAAATTGACAAAATAACGTATTTTTGTTATTGTTATGGTTTCAAACTGATCACTCTCCTACTCAGAGTTCCGAACAAGACCAGATTCATGCTTTTTAAAAATGGAAATTGTCCACAAGTTCCTGACTTGATTTTCAATAATGAACATTTGGAACGTGTACATCAACATAAACACCTCGGTGTCATCTTTTCAGATAATACAAAATGGTCTCATCATGTATCTGCTGTAATAGAAAAGGCCGCAAAAATTGTTTCCTCATTACGGACGCTAAAGTACGTATTACCTAGATATATCCTTACTAGTATGTGCGAAATGTATATTAGGCCTATTTTAGAATATGCATCTGAGGTCTGGGATAATTGCCCTAGCTATATTTGTGATAAACTTGAAATGTTACAACTTGAAGCAGCACGAATTGTAACCGGATTGCCTAAATTCGCTTCAAGATATAGTTTATACAGTGAAACTGGTTGGTTACCATTGAAAGTTAGACGAACACAAAGGAAACTCTGTACATTCTTCAAAAAATTTAACATGCAAGCTCCTGATTACCTGATAGATTTACTTCCACCTTTTACTGAAACTGGCGTAACAAATCAGATTTGGCTGTTCCTAAATTTCGCACCTCAATTCTCCAAAAGTCATTTATCTATGATTCTGCAAGTTTATGGAATGCTCTCTCCTCTACAACACAATGTACAAATTCATTATCATCGTTTAAATCAAAGTTATCTGGAAATAATGACAAGGTTCCAAAATATTTTCTATTTGGTGAAAGAAAGACAAATATACTACACACGAAGTTAAGACATTCGTGTAGTTCATTACAAGCAGATCTGTTTCGTGTTAATCTATCAGAGAGTAGAGCTTGCAATTGTGGTGCTCCGGTGGAAGATGCTAACCATTTCTTCTTAAAATGTCCAAAATTTGTCAGTTGCCGTTTTGATCTGAAGAAAGACTTTGAACTATCAAAAGTTCAGTTAGACATTGATACCATTCTTTACGGCAACCCTGCTCTGTCAAATACTATCAATGAAAATATCTTTAGACATGTGCATAAATGCATTGTACGAAGTAAGCGCTTCAATTAATCAATAATATGTCTCAATATTATTATGTCCATCCAATACCTTGAGGACAGTGCTTATTATGAATATGCGCGTTTGATTATAAACAAGAGAAAAGTCCGGTCACGTGATATGCAAATAAGCCTGTGGCAGTGATATTATGTTAAGTCATCGCTGTGCCGGAGTGTGCGGTTTCATAAAGAGGTTGCGGAAGAATTTTGTACTGTAGTCACTTTTGCATGACGTCACACTGTAATGACGTCACTACGCCAGTCTCGTCTGTCCCCTTGCTAACGGACGTCACGATGCATGTCAGTTGTCCTCGCCTCGTACAGCCTCCTACAGTAAACTACTCCGCAGCACCCCTTTTCCTGGTTTGCAATTGCTTCACTCGGCTAACATCACTGGTTGGAAACATTGCGTTTATGTTTTTCGACGGATATAATGTCTCAGTTCGACTCACAATTATTCAGCGATACGGCAACGTTCGCAATGTTTACATTCCCACAATGCATGTAAGTTGTGGAATGAATGAATTCACGTGTTTGTTATGAATGAACAAGTAGTTCCGTCACAACGTGACCTAACTGAGAGGTCATCCAATCAAGTCGTTAGAATCTCAGGTCAAGTCTTTACGACTACCCATATGTTGACCACGTGGGTAATAAAACGGCATACGCAACAGATGGTGAAGGCGGAAAGACTGTTTGACAGGACTGTGTGACAAAAACCTTCACAGAATGACGGACTCGCGGATCACGCAACTTTGGATTTGGCGAGGCTCCCATTGTCTTCTATTGATGTCATAATTACTGGGATTTTCCCGAACACCTGGTGTCATCATTGACACCAGGTGTCCATTATCCATTCATGTATTATTCACAGCTATATTCCCTTTACCTGACTTGGTATTTTTGCACTGACATTCTATGTATAACATCTTGACAATGTTAATCTAAGTGAAAAAAAATATATAAAAAATGCATAAATACAAACGTTTGCAATTGGTCTGTCCATCTGTTACTATTTTAACCTGTTTGAGGTTTCATTCACGTGGTATGTGTCCAGTCTTGATAAATTTCATAAGCTTAACGGATTCAAACCCTGTCAGTTTGAAATCGGTCTTTAATACATCATTTGTAAATTCGTTTGCGAGTGTGCCATCTACCTGCTGATTTCGAAAAGCTGAAACATGTTTGACCAGTTTCAGTTCCTTGAGAGCCTTAGAAAACCCCTCTATCGTGAGGTCTTTCAAGTGATTGGGCACCTGTTTGGTACTACCTTTACGCCGTGGTAGTTCAGGCACTGGGGTATTACCACTCACTGTCCCTTGTGGCCGGCTCATATTAACATCGCCTGCATCAGGTACTGAGATCGATCGTGGGGGAAGTTTCGGTCTGCAGCTGGTATCCTGACTGCTTGAACTGATACTCCTTGTGGCCTTTGTTACACTCCATCTATGTGTATTTTCTTCGGTTTTTGTGGTCATTAATTTCTTCTGTAGCTCGGATATCATGGATCCTTTGAGTGGATGTCTCTTGTGGAAGTATGGAGTAGCGTACTTTTCAGCATCACTGGCGCCGTCTTGTGACAGGAGAGAGAGTAGGTGATATATTCTGCAGGCTCCACGTAGCAATAGATGTGGTCCTCTTTATCTACCACGGAGCTGTCCGAAAACACTGCTATCTCTGAAATGTGGTTTTAAAAAAACATTTAAAACGACACACACAAGACCACACGAAGAAGTAAAAACATGAACTCAGATGTGTGAATTTATCATCCAAAACTGTGTTCCACAGTAGATATCTCTTGTGTGAGATCAGACGATATCTCCTAGGAGATATCGTTTTGACAGATTTTGTACAATGCCCTGACAATGCTATGACGTCATGAACTTGTTGACGTCACAATGTCATGACATCGCTGCACTGCAAATCTAATGGCAGTACTGTGCTCAGAGATGTACATTTTTCATTGAAAACTAATGAAGAGTGAGTTTTTATGATAAATAGAATCTCACCCTCGTGCCTTCTGATATCAAATATCAACACTCGTTGATAAAAGTAAAAATATCCTCGGCAAGCCTCGGATATTTGTTACTTTATCAACTCGTGGTGATATATTTGATATCAAAAGACACTCGGGTGAGATTCTCTTCATATCCAATCAATAAAGTGAGCAAGTGAGTTTAGTTTTATCCTGCTTTTAGCAATATTCCAGCAATATCACGGCGGGGAGACCAGAAAAGGGCTTCACACACTGTGCCAATGTGGGGAATCGAACCCGGGTTTCGGCGTTACAAGCGAATGCTTTAACCATTAGTCTACCCCACCGCCCCTCCAATCAATAAAATAGTAATAAAAATGTCTGTTAAGAGGAGAGCTTTGCTTTATCACGTGTTTATGAATCGAATAGTGATAATATCAGGTGTGTGAGACCAAAGGATGAGCGTTCAGTGCCCAATCTATCAGAAACAATCACCTCCATTTTCCTCCTGAACCACGGTCAAAATAGGGAATCTGTGTCACTGATCAATGCGTAAATTTTGGAAATGTCCCCCACATGTCCATTATAAAAACGCCTTGGTCAAGCACGTGAATCACACGCAGAACATTGGGATACAGAGTCGTTACAGAGAATTTTAATCTGAATAAACAGAATGTTTTGGCAACGATGTCTTGCCGTTTATCCCCGATGGACAAGTTTTGGACTTTCAGTCAAACCCTCTTTAGTGTACGCCGCCAAGGGGTACACCCGAACAGGCTTTACTACACATACAATGATGATGAATCGACACAAGGTTAGCAATGTTAGCAACCTGATGACGAATTGTGCAGAGCAACGCATAGAGTGGCATGAAGAGACGCAAATCTATTCTGTTGGTCCCCCTACTTGTGCCATGAATCGCTCCTGGGTCTGCCCCATCGCTGGGACATCAAGCGATCTTCGACCTGCCTCACCTTGCCTGTAAACTGACACACTGTGAGTGAGTGAGTTTATTTTTACGCTGCACTCAGCGATATTCTAGCTATATGGCGGCGGTCTGTAAATGATCGAGTCCGGGCCAGACAATCCAGTGATCAACAGCATGAGCATCGATCTGTGCAATTGCATGGGAACCGATGACATGTGTCAACCAAGCCAGCGAGAATGACCACCCGATCCCGTTAGTCGCCTCTTACGACAAGCATGGGTTACTCAAGGTTCATTCTAACCCGGACCTTCACGGGTATGACACACTGTGAGTTGGGTAAATATTGGTTTAGCAATATTCGGAGAGGAAATGGACGTCAGCAGATGTTGTACCCATGTGGTGAATCCAAACTCGTGTCTAGGGCGTGACGAGCGAACACTTTTACCACTAGGCTACCCTACCGCCCCTGACACGCAGTGAGGTAACAGAATACTGTTAATATTAACGTGAAACTCCTTTACTTCTCAAAGAATAGGCATTAAAAGCGTCTTAAAACAGACAAACACATTCAAACACTCTTTATCCAATTGACCCGTGAAGGTCCGGGTTAGAATGAACCTTCAGCAACCCATGCTTGTCGTAAGAGGCGACTAACGGGATCGGGTGGTCAGGCTCGCTGGCTTGATTAACATATGTGATCGGTTCCCAATTGCGCAGATCGATGCTCATGCTGTCGACCACTTGATTGTCTGGCCCAGACTCGATTATTTACAGACCGCCGCCATACAGCTGGAATATTGCTGAGTGCGGCGTAAAACTAAACTCACCCACTCACTCACTTTATCCAACTGGGGAGCTCCGACAGTGAAGGCTTATAGTATCTTACCATTATTTCCCAAGTTGGGAGGAACTTTGACATCTTTCAGAGACTGTGTTAGTTCAGCATACATGGTCTTCCACTCCGCATCCTTCATACCGACCACGCCCTTCACTGTGGACACCTGCAGGTCACCGAGGTATAGGGGCACCACCAACACCTGCTTATCCACGGTACCTGGACAGGTGAGAGGGCTGCATTATAGCTCTATATTCAAAACATTTAACTAAGATCAATTGAAATAAAAGCTCTTGAAACTGTCTTCTGTCTTTTGAAAAGTCAGATTTTGAGTGAATGAGTTGGGTTTTTCGCTGCTTTTGGAAATATTCTAGCAATTCCACGGCGGGGGACACCAGAAATGGGCTTCAGATATTGTGTCCATGTGGGGAATGACACCTGGGTCCTCAGCGTGACGAGCGACGCTTTAACCACTAGCCCACACTACCGCAGCTTCAGGTGTAGAAGTAAGTATGGACATGGTATTATCTTTAGATATATTAACTAAAACATCTATTATTCCGGGAATAAGAAACCAGGTAAAGAGTTAAAATTTTCAAACTTTTAAATGCTACATCTAGAATTTTGCGATCCTTTTTATCGGTACATATAATTGTGTTGTGAATGGTCAACGTAAGATAGTAAAATCGTTATTCGAGGAACTGTTTTATACTTCTTCAGCAGGCAGTAATTAGACGTACGCCCATAGACGCCACTAGCCAGGATGTACGTCTCCTCGTAGATACGTGACAGTGCGAGATTACTGAGGTCCTTGGCCTGTTGTCGATTAGACCCCACATAGAAGGCAACATTGGAGGGAGCAGCAAACTTAACCTGCACTGGCAGTTTGTTCTCACGCAGGATCTCTTTCATTGTCTGTTCTGGCCCCACTGAAACAACAAGAGTTTCACAAGGAACTGTCTAGTCTTCTTAAATCTGTATTACGCTTGAGAAATAGCTTTAGTTATTTTTTCACCACCTTTTCTATGATATCATATCATGGAAATTGAGTTATTGCTTGTAGCTTATGTAAACTTAACTACTGATCAGGGAAAAATAACAATTTGTGATCTGGTGCAAATGTTTTGTTTTTCAATCCTTTCAAATTCATATGAATCATTAAAAAACCAGGACAGTCAGTGAATCAGAGACCTTACCTACTTAACAGAATCAGGTAATCATTGAAATAAGTCGCTAACTTCCATGTACATGTATGTCAGGAACCGATCACGTTGAAAAGAATTCACAGAATCAAAATTCCTCCAATATTGTCATCATTGTAAGTATTCCCCAAGATGTTGAGCTGATATAGGCAAGAAACAAAAGCCTCATAAATCACAGATACATACTTCTCCACGTTTTATAGGTATCATAAAACATGTCATTCTTTTCAAATGTATACTTGACATATGTGTATTGAGATAAAAATATCCTCCTCTCAAGAATGAAGTATTATATATTTTTAGAAACAAACATTTATTACTACCGGCAAGTTACACTGCTGTCTGTTTGATCTTTTACTTGGATCAAAGCTTTCTTGTGGGCGTGAGGCAAGATGCGGCCGTGGACGTATATGTGAGGTCGGAAACAGTTGCGGTTTTCTTGCTGGAGCAGGGTTACGATCCACAAAGCATTCGTAACGTTACGACCTGTTGTAACTCTATAGTTTATCTTAAGGTTACGAATGTCGCAGTGCTACGAACGCTTTGTGGATCGGCACCCTGAAGAAGAATTAGCTGGAAAGGCGGGTGGAGATGGGAGTGGAATGATTGCTCCGATAATTGAATGATTATTGATCGGTTAAGTCGACATTGATATCGGCTGTCTATACGTGACCACACCCTACTGACAAAGTTAAGAATCATATATAAATCATTGATTTGAATTATTGGCATGAGCTGTTTTTGTTTTCATTGTTCAAGAGTGACTTTCACACCTTTACTTCTGGATATGACGATCTTGAACTTCATGGGGTACTCCTCGGGGATGCTGATTGTCCTGCCACGTGAGTCCCGCGCGACCACTCGCCTCTGTTTGACGTAGCTGTGGCAGAACAGAGGCTGTATGGGATAGAAATGAGTAAATAAAAGTTGACAGATTTAGGGCTTGAACTCAAGGGGACACAGGGGGGGTGAAAGGAACACAATTTATGCCTTATGCTTGCTTAAATGCATAATCTGCAAATTTTAAAGAGCTGAACGTATCAACTTTGCTTTCGAGTTTGACAATGTCCAGAACCTTTGAAGATACAACACACGTATTACAAATTAATACACGACGTTTTGAGAAAAGATGACAAATTCTAGGAAACTGGGAAACTAATACATTTTATTTCCTCCCAAACGTCGGCTTTTCATCCTACATATGTTCATATTTAATCTGTTAAAAGGTCAGTTGTAGGCGTATTAGCAGAGGGTATGTACGTCTCACCTGCTCAGAGGCGAATGTCTCTAGATCGGTTACCCCAAGGCAACCCTGCGTGACTACAGCAAACACTGGCATCCTTTTCGAGTACCGGTCAAAGAACTCCGGCATAGGATAGCCTTCTTCATTGGTTTCAAACTGTAAAATCCTCTCCATCTGGCCCTGCAAAACAGTCGACGTATTAAACAGATTTCATTCTTTTATGTAAAGAACGCGGCAATGATGTACATAGTACCTACACAGATATGTAGTAAGTAATTATCGCTACAGTATATGTAATACAGTCAGTAACGTATTATACCTACATAACTGTATGCATAGTAGCGTCAGTAAATAAGTATACCAGCATCACTGTATATGTAGTATAGTCAGTAAGTATACCTGCATCACTGTATATGTAGTATAGTCAGTAAGTATACCTGCATCACTGTATATGTAGTATAGTCAGTAAGTATACCTGCATCACTGTATATATAGTATAGTCAGTAAGTATACCGGCATCACTGTATATGTAGTATAGTCAATAAGTATACCTGCATCACTGTATATGTAGTATAGTCAGTAAGTATACCTGCATCAGTCAGTAAGTATACCTGCATCACTGTATATATAGTATAGTCAGTAAGTATACCTGCATCACTGTATATGTAGTACAGTCAGTAAGTATACCGGCATCACTGTATATGTAGTATAGTCAATAAGTATACCTGCATCACTGTATATGTAGTACAGTCAGTAAGTATACCTGCATCACTGTATATATAGTATAGTCAGTAAGTATACCTGCATCACTGTATATGTAGTACAGTCAGTAAGTATACCGGCATCACTGTATATGTAGTATAGTCAATAAGTATACCTGCATCACTGTATATGTAGTATAGTCAGTAAGTATACCTGCATCACTGTATATGTAGTACAGTCAGTAAGTATACCTGCATCACTGTATATGTAGTATAGTCAGTAAGTATACCGGCATCACTGTATATGTAGTATAGTCAGTAAGTATATCTGCATCACTGTATATGTAGTACAGTCAGTAAGTATATCTGCATCACTGTATATGTAGTATAGTCAGTAAGTATACCTGCATCACTGTATATGTAGTATAGTCAGTAAGTATACCTGCATCAGTCAGTAAGTATACCTGCATCACTGTATATATAGTATAGTCAGTAAGTATACCTGCATCACTGTATATGTAGTACAGTCAGTAAGTATACCTGCATCACTGTATAGGTAGTACAGTCAGTAAGTATATCTGCATCACTGTATATATAGTATAGTCAGTAAGTATACCTGCATCACTGTATATGTAGTACAGTCAGTAAGTATACCTGCATCACTGTATATACACAGTATAGTCAGTAAGTATACCTGCATCACTGTATATGTAGTATAGTCAGTAAGTATACCTGCATCACTGTATATACAGTATAGTCAGTAAGTATACCTGCATCACTGTATATGTAGTAGTACAGTCAGTAAGTATACCAGCATCACTGTATATGTAGTATAGTCAGTAAGTATATCTGCATCACTGTATAGGTAGTATAGTCAGTAATTATACCGGCATCACTGTATATATAGTATAGTCAGTAAGTATACCTGCATCACTGTATATATAGTATAGTCAGTAAGTATATCTGCATCACTGTATATGTAGTATAGTCAATAAGTATACCTGCATCACTGTATATGTAGTACAGTCAGTAAGTATACCTGCATCACTGTATATATATAGTATAGTCAGTAAGTATACCTGCATCACTGTATATGTAGTACAGTCAGTAAGTATACCAGCATCACTGTATATGTAGTATAGTCAGTAAGTATATCTGCATCACTGTATATGTAGTACAGTCAGTAAGTATACCAGCATCACTGTATATGTAGTACAGTCAGTAAGTATACCTGCATCACTGTATATGTAGTATAGTCAGTAAGTATACCGGCATCACTGTATATGTAGTATAGTCAGTAAGTATACCGGCATCACTGTATATGTAGTATAGTCAGTAAGTATACCGGCATCACTGTATATGTAGTATAGTCAATAAGTATACCGGCATCACTGCATATGTAGTATGGTCAGTAAGAATATACCTGCATCACTGTATATGTAGTATAGTCAGTAAGTATACCTGCATCACTGTATATGTAGTATAATCAGTAAGTATATCTGCATCACTGTATATATAGTATAGTCAATAAAGTATACCGGCATCACTGTATATGTAGTATAGTCAGTAAGTATACCCTGCATCACTGTATATGTAGTATAGTCAATAAGTATACCTGCATCACTGTATATGTAGTTCAGTCAGTAAGTATACCAGCATCACTGTATATATATAGTATAGTCAGTAAGTATACCTGCATCACTGTATATGTAGTATAGTCAGTAAGTATATCTGCATCACTGTATATATAGTATAGTCAGTAAGTATACCTGCATCACTGTATATGTAGTATAGTCAGTAAGTATACCTGCATCACTGTATATGTAGTATAGTCAATAAGTATACCTGCATCACTGTATATGTAGTACAGTCAATAAGTATACCTGCATCACTGTATATGTAGTATAGTCAGTAAGTATATCTGCATCACTGTATATGTAGTATAGTCAGTAAGTATACCGGCATCACTGTATATATAGTATAGTCAGTAAGTATACCAGCATCACTGTATATATAGTATAGTCAGTAAGTATACCTGCATCACTGTATATGTAGTACAGTCAGTAAGTATACCAGCATCACTGTATATGTAGTACAGTCAGTAAGTTTACCTGCATCACTGTATATATAGTATAGTCAGTAAGTATACCTGCATCACTGTATATGTAGTATAGTCAGTAAGTATATCTGCATCACTGTATATATAGTATAGTCAATAAGTATACCTGCATCACTGTATATGTAGTATAGTCAGTAAGTATACCTGCATCACTGTATATGTAGTATAGTCAATAAGTATACCTGCATCACTGTATATGTAGTACAGTCAGTAAGTATACCAGCATCACTGTATATATAGTATAGTCAGTAAGTATACCTGCATCACTGTATATGTAGTATAGTCAGTAAGTATACCTGCATCACTGTATATGTAGTATAGTCAGTAAGTATACCTGCATCACTGTATATGTAGTATAGTCAGTAAGTATACCTGCATCACTGTATATGTAGTACAGTCAGTAAGTATACCTGCATCACTGTATATGTAGTATAGTCAGTAAGTATACCTGCATCACTGTATATGTAGTATAGTCAGTAAGTATACCTGCATCACTGTATATGTAGTATAGTCAGTAAGTATACCTGCATCACTGTATATGTAGTATAGTCAGTAAGTATACCTGCATCACTGTATATGTAGTACAGTCAGTAAGTATACCTGCATCACTGTATATGTAGTACAGTCAGTAAGTATACCTGCATCACTGTATATATAGTATAGTCAGTAAGTATACCTGCATCACTGTATATGTAGTATAGTCAGTAAGTATACCTGCATCACTGTATATGTAATATAGTCAATAAGTATACCTGCATCACTGTATATGTAGTACAGTCAGTAAGTATACCTGCATCACTGTATATATAGTATAGTCAATAAGTATACCTGCATCACTGTATATGTAGTACAGTCAGTAAGTATATACCTGCATCACTGTATATGTAGTACAGTCAGTAAGTATACCTGCATCACTGTATATGTAGTATAGTCAGTAAGTATACCTGCATCACTGTATATGTAGTACAGTCAGTAAGTATACCTGCATCACTGTATATGTAGTATAGTCAGTAAGTATACCTGCATCACTGTATATGTAGTATAGTCAGTAAGTATACCAGCATCACTGTATATATAGTATAGTCAGTAAGTATACCTGCATCACTGTATATGTAGTATAGTCAGTAAGTATACCAGCATCACTGTATATATAGTATAGTCAGTAAGTATACCGGCATCACTGTATATGTAGTATAGTCAGTAAGTATACCTGCATCACTGTATATATAGTATAGTCAGTAAGTATACCGGCATCACTGTATATGTAGTATAGTCAATAAGTATACCTGCATCACTGTATATGTAGTACAGTCAGTAAGTATACCTGCATCACTGTATATGTAGTACAGTCAGTAAGTATACCTGCATCACTGTATATGTAGTATAGTCAGTAAGTATACCAGCATCACTGTATATGTAGTACAGTCAGTAAGTATACCTGCATCACTGTATATGTAGTACAGTCAGTAAGTATACCTGCATCACTGTATATGTAGTACAGTCAGTAAGTATACCTGCATCACTGTATATGTAGTATAGTCAGTAAGTATACCTGCATCACTGTATATGTAGTATAGTCAGTAAGTATACCGGCATCACTGTATATGTAGTATAGTCAGTAAGTATACCTGCATCACTGTATAGGTAGTATAGTCAGTAAGTATACCGGCATCACTGTATATGTAGTACAGTCAGTAAGTATACCAGCATCACTGTATATGTAGTATAGTCAGTAAGTATACCGGCATCACTGTATATGTAGTACAGTCAGTAAGTATACCTGCATCACTGTATATGTAGTATAGTCAGTAAGTATATCTGCATCACTGTATATGTAGTACAGTCAGTAAGTATACCTGCATCACTGTATATGTAGTATAGTCAGTAAGTATATCTGCATCACTGTATATGTGTAGTATAGTCAGTAAGTATACCAGCATCACTGTATATATAGTATAGTCAGTAAGTATACCTGCATCACTGTATATGTAGTATAGTCAGTAAGTATACCAGCATCACTGTATATATAGTATAGTCAGTAAGTATACCGGCATCACTGTATATGTAGTATAGTCAGTAAGTATACCAGCATCACTGTATATATAGTATAGTCAATAAGTATACCTGCATCACTGTATATGTAGTACAGTCAGTAAGTATACCTGCATCACTGTATATGTAGTACAGTCAGTAAGTATACCTGCATCACTGTATATGTAGTATAGTCAGTAAGTATACCTGCATCACTGTATATGTAGTACAGTCAGTAAGTATACCTGCATCACTGTATATATAGTATAGTCAGTAAGTATACCGGCATCACTGTATATGTAGTATAGTCAGTAAGTATACCTGCATCACTGTATATATAGTATAGTCAGTAAGTATACCGGCATCACTGTATATGTAGTATAGTCAGTAAGTATACCTGCATCACTGTATATATAGTATAGTCAGTAAGTATACCGGCATCACTGTATATGTAGTATAGTCAATAAGTATACCTGCATCACTGTATATGTAGTACAGTCAGTAAGTATACCTGCATCACTGTATATGTAGTACAGTCAGTAAGTATACCTGCATCACTGTATATGTAGTATAGTCAGTAAGTATACCAGCATCACTGTATATGTAGTATAGTCAGTAAGTATACCTGCATCACTGTATATGTAGTACAGTCAGTAAGTATACCTGCATCACTGTATATGTAGTACAGTCAGTAAGTATACCTGCATCACTGTATATGTAGTATAGTCAGTAAGTATACCTGCATCACTGTATATGTAGTATAGTCAGTAAGTATACCTGCATCACTGTGTATATGTAGTATAGTCAGTAAGTATACCTGCATCACTGTATATGTAGTATAGTCAGTAAGTATACCGGCATCACTGTATATGTAGTATAGTCAGTAAGTATACCAGCATCACTGTATATGTAGTATAGTCAGTAAGTATACCGGCATCACTGTATATGTAGTACAGTCAGTAAGTATACCTGCATCACTGTATATGTAGTATAGTCAGTAAGTATACCTGCATCACTGTATATGTAGTACAGTCAGTAAGTATACCTGCATCACTGTATATGTAGTATAGTCAGTAAGTATACCTGCATCACTGTATATGTAGTATAGTCAGTAAGTATACCTGCATCACTGTATATGTAGTATAGTCAGTAAATAAGTATACCTGCATCACTGTATATATAGTATAGTCAGTAAGTATACCTGCATCACTGTATATGTAGTATAGTCAGTAAGTATACCGGCATCACTGTATATGTAGTATAGTCAGTAAGTATACCTGCATCACTGCATATATGTAGTATAGTCAGTAAGTATACCTGCATCACTGTATATGTAGTATAGTCAGTAAGTATACCTGCATCACTGTATATGTAGTACATAAGTCAGTAAGCATACCCGCATCACTGTATATGTAGTATAGTCAGTAAGTATACCTGCATCACTGTATATATGTAGTATAGTCAGTAAGTATACCTGCATCACTGTATATGTAGTATAGTCAGTAAGTATACCCGCATCACTGTATATGTAGTATAGTCAGTAAGTATACCTGCATCACTGTATATGTAGTATAGTCAGTAAGTATACCTGCATCACTGTATATGTAGTATAGTCAGTAAGTATACCTGCATCACTGTATATATAGTATAGTCAGTAAGTATACCTGCATCACTGTATATGTAGTACAGTCAGTAAGTATACCTGCATCACTGTATATGTAGTATAGTCAGTAAGTATACCTGCATCACTGTATATGTAGTATAGTCAGTAAGTATACCTGCATCACTGTATATGTAGTACAGTCAGTAAGTATACCCGCATCACTGTATATGTAGTATAGTCAGTAAGTATACCTGCATCACTGTATATGTAGTATAGTCAGTAAGTATACCTGCATCACTGTATATGTAGTATAGTCAGTAAGTATACCTGCATCACTGTATATGTAGTATAGTCAGTAAGTATACCTGCATCACTGTATATGTAGTATAGTCAGTAAGTATACCTGCATCACTGTATATGTAGTATAGTCAGTAAATAAGTATACCTGCATCACTGTATATGTAGTATAGTCAATAAGTATACCTGCATCACTGTATATGTAGTATAGTCAGTAAGTATACCTGCATCACTGTATATGTAGTATAGTCAGTAAGTATACCTGCATCACTGTATATGTAGTATATAGTCAGTAAGTATACCTGCATCACTGTATATGTAGTATAGTCAGTAAGTATACCTGCATCACTGTATATGTAGCATATGCATCAGTCAGTCAGTAAGTATACCTGCATCACTGTATATGTAGTATAGTCAGTAAGTATACCTGCATCACTGTATATGTAGTACAGTCAGTAAGTATACCTGCATCACTGTATATGTAGTACAGTCAGTAAGTATACCTGCATCACTGTATATGTAGTATAGTCAGTAAGTATACCTGCATCACTGTATATGTAGTACAGTCAGTAAGTATACCTGCATCACTGTATATGTAGTACAGTCAGTAAGTATACCTGCATCACTGTATATGTAGTATAGTCAGTAAGTATACCTGCATCACTGTATATGTAGTATAGTCAGTAAGTATACCTGCATCACTGTATATGTAGTATAGTCAGTAAGTATACCCGCATCACTGTATATGTAGTACAGTCAGTAAGTATACCTGCATCACTGTATATGTAGTATAGTCAGTAAGTATACCTGCATCACTGTATATGTAGTATAGTCAGTAAGTATACCTGCATCACTGTATATGTAGTATAGTCAGTAAGTATACCTGCATCACTGTATATGTAGTATAGTCAGTAAGTATACCTGCATCACTGTATATGTAGTATAGTCAGTAAGTATACCTGCATCACTGTATATATAGTATAGTCAGTAAGTATACCTGCATCACTGTATATGTAGTATAGTCAGTAAGTATACCTGCATCACTGTATATGTAGTATAGTCAGTAAGTATACCTAGCAGTCAGTAAGTATACCTGCATCACTGTACCGTATATAGTATAGTCAGTAAGTATACCTGCATCACTGTATATGTAGTATAGTCAGTAAGTATACCTGCATCACTGTATATGTAGTATAGTCAGTAAGTATACCTGCATCACTGTATATGTAGTATAGTCAGTAAGTATACCTGCATCACTGTATATGTAGTATAGTCAGTAAGTATACCTGCATCACTGTATATGTAGTATAGTCAGTAAGTATACCTGCATCACTGTATATGTAGTATAGTCAGTAAGTATACCTGCATCACTGTATATGTAGTATAGTCAGTAAGTATACCTGCATCACTGTATATGTAGTATAGTCAGTAAGTATACCTGCATCACTGTATATGTAGTACAGTCAGTAAGTATACCTGCATCACTGTATATGTAGTATAGTCAGTAAGTATACCTGCATCACTGTATATGTAGTATAGTCAGTAAGTATACCTGCATCACTGTATATGTAGTATAGTCAGTAAGTATACCTGCATCACTGTATATGTAGTATAGTCAGTAAGTATACCTGCATCACTGTATATGTAGTATAGTCAGTAAGTATACCTGCATCACTGTATATGTAGTATAGTCAGTAAGTATACCTGCATCACTGTATATGTAGTATAGTCAGTAAGTATACCTGCATCACTGTATATGTAGTATAGTCAGTAAGTATACCTGCATCACTGTATATGTAGTATAGTCAGTAAGTATACCTGCATCACTGTATATGTAGTATAGTCAGTAAGTATACCTGCATCACTGTATATGTAGTATAGTCAGTAAGTATACCTGCATCACTGTATATGTAGTACAGTCAGTAAGTATACCTGCATCACTGTATATGTAGTACAGTCAGTAAGTATACCTGCATCACTGTATATGTAGTATAGTCAGTAAGTATATCACTGTATATGTAGTATAGCATCACTGTATATGTAGTATAGTCAGTAAGTATACCTGCATCACTGTATATGTAGTACAGTCAGTAAGTATACCTGCATCACTGTATATGTAGTATAGTCAGTAAGTATACCAGCATCACTGTATATGTAGTACAGTCAGTAAGTATACCTGCATCACTGTATATGTAGTACAGTCAGTAAGTATACCAGCATCACTGTATATGTAGTATAGTCAGTAAGTATACCAGCATCACTGTATATGTAGTACAGTCAGTAAGTATACCTGCATCACTGTATATGTAGTATAGTCAGTAAGTATACCAGCATCACTGTATATGTAGTATAGTCAGTAAGTATACCAGCATCACTGTATATGTAGTACAGTCAGTAAGTATACCTGCATCACTGTATATGTAGTATAGTCAGTAAGTATACCAGCATCACTGTATATGTAGTACAGTCAGTAAGTATACCTGCATCACTGTATATGTAGTACAGTCAGTAAGTATACCAGCATCACTGTATATATAGTATAGTCAGTAAGTATACCTGCATCACTGTATATGTAGTACAGTCAGTAAGTATACCTGCATCACTGTATATGTAGTATAGTCAGTAAGTATACCTGCATCACTGTATATGTAGTATAGTCAGTAAGTATACCGGCATCACTGTTTATGTAGCATAGTCAGTAAGGAATTGAGTGAGTTGAGTTTTACGCCGCTTTGAGCAATATTCCATCAATGTCACGCAGGGGACACCAGAAATGAACTTCACACATTGTACACATGTGGGGAATCGAACACGAGTCTTGGTGATGACGAGCGAACGCGACCTTGCATCACTCTCACAGACCGATGTCGGTATGGTATGGAGCCTATACAAGCTCAACCCACTGAAGTGTGTCGCCTGTATGTCCATGCATACACACGTAACTAAATATGCATTGTGGACACTATGGTATGCACATGTAAGGACAGCAGCTGGAAGAAATGAAATACTATTGAAAGTACGAAATCTCTTTTACAAAGGGCTGATACCACTACCTTAATAAATACCATACCACTACCATAGATAGTTATATGGAGCGTAGTTTACGACTGTTTCAGCTTATTGGTATCATCGGACAGATATGAAATTCAATTACCATTTACAGCCTACACACAGGGAAATGATAAGAAACAAACAGTTTACCTTTACGTCGATGACACTCGCCGAAGTCCTAGTGTGACCCAGTCATCATACCTGGCATATCAGTCCTCAGGTGTCTAAATATAGATCTCGGATGAGGGGTGTAGGGTGTCGGGTGTCGGGTGTCGGGTGTGGGACTGGATGTTGATTCTATATGATTTACCCTTGAACTTTACACACGTCTTATGTAAAACTGCCTTTTCCTCTTATGTACAATAGTCATACTGCGCCACTATATTGCACAACCTATTCCCCCCTCCTCTTGGAATGGACTGAGCCAGCGTAATGTACTATTGACAGCGTAAGCGCTATATAGAAACGTTTATCAGCTTATCAATTTACAATGTGCAGTTGTGACCTATATAGACTGAATATCAGATCCATACATATTCGGCGCATCTTTTATACATGCATTCCTTAGAGTATTTGGGTTTTCGTGCCCCTCAGTAACATTACAAGACAGCTAAGAGTGGATATCTTTAATCATGATCACCTGGGAACAAAGCACCTGTCACTGAACAAATATCAGGTGACGATAACACACAATCATGAGGGGTGACGAAGTGTGACAACCCGACTTCACAAGGAGTTCCCAAGCAAAGATAATTGTCCACCGTTCGTTTATCGAAACTCCAATTCGTTATGTCATGAGAGCGGAAGATCGGTGGTTCGACACCCTGCTAAAAATGGTACTCCTCGTTACCCTGCCTGGCGCTCGGCATTAATGGGTGAGGTGAGGTGAGGTGAAATTGGGTTTAACGTCGTGCTTGAGAATATTTCGCTCATATGACGACGTGCATGCGTGTGTATGTGTATGTGCGGCTGCTTGTACTAGCCCAGACTTAAGCTGGTTTTATAGTGCTAGCCCACTGAGATACCATGCCGCAGTGAAGCATGAATATCCCACTCAGACACATTATACTGACTCCGAACCGACCAGTCCTTGATGTACCCATTAATGCCGAGCGCCAGGCAGGGACCAACAAGTACCATATTTTAACGTCTTTTGGTATGACGCGGTCGGGGATCGAACCCGCGACCTTCCGCACTCCGGGCGGACGCTCTAACCACCACACCACGGAGGCGGTCGTGGCTGCTGAGGTCTGGTATGATCATGTCCGGTTAGTTACCATACAACGCAGGTAGTCTCTGTCTTTGGCAATACAGCTTTTGTCAGTTATTCCAATATGCCCCAAATGTTATGAGCAGCGTCCTGAGAGTCAGCCAAACAAGGATCACAACTTTAAGGATTGTGGATGCCAGTCGAAACATATGCCAAACAAAGGATCAAAAAGGGACGATCAACCTGCTGAGCATCTTTCCGAGAGGGTTAAGTCGGTGCTTGTGTATTGCCATCGGTAGAATGCACAAGCTAGTTATCAGGAAACCAACCCAGTCTGTCCCAACGATCTGTCAGCCAATTGAAACGTCGTTCCCGCTGCCATGGCCTCAAATAAAAACCTTTATGTGTTACCATGGCGACATGAGTCGATTGATAGAAGAACCTTTTATAAGGCCAAGATATAAACATGCCTCATAGAAGGTCAGTATGTTAACTGAGGTGGAAGTCTGTTAAAACTAGCAAACAGTACTATCACCTTTCCTCTTGTCTCTGAAAACTAAAGACATATCCATTGAAAGTTTATACTAAATTCCAAAGCTTGATGCAAATGAAAGACTATAAGCTCAATATAGTACTCACCAAATCATCACTTAAACAACAACCAAATTCTTTAATACAACTAAGAAAGGACTTTTTGTATATTCACAGAAAGTATTTGAGACAAATATTATTAAAAACATGTGCTTTCTCAAAAGTTCCAAGGATCAACTTGAATTTCTGCAGACAGACAAAAGAAACAATTTCAGTTATGTTTGACCTCATTTTTCTACCTTGAACACCTTTATCCCCCACAACAAAGGGCAAACGTCGTTCCATCTATTCATCTTCAAAACTTCACGATAATCTGTTTGAATTAAAGGAAACCTGAAGTTTACTCAGAAAGAAATTGTGTAAAATGCTGAACTTTATCATTGATAACATTTATATGAGAAGACATTTGGGTTAAAAGTAGGTATTCCTACTGTCAATAACATAGGCAATTTGTTCTATATCCATGGCTTAGTTTTTAAAACACCCTGTGGAATGCCTTGTTTTCAGCATGAGTTTTGACCATCTTCACTATACGATCATCAAACACTTAATGTGTGCAAAAGTGACCAATTGCAATCTGTTATGAACAACCTCGAAGGTATTCAAATCTCGCCCTCATTGATAAGCAGAAGCGAGAAGGGAAGAGCGAGGATTGTGTATGTCTTGTCGTCCATGCTTTCTTCGTACATTTACACTAGTCCACTATGAATACACATTGTGACCTGACAATACTTTTCAATCCTAGATATGTGTATCATCATTTTTCCATGAAATCTTGAGCATAACTCTTCATAGTTGGTCTGAAATCACTGGATGAGATAAGCATTGGAGAAAACGATTTATCAGGAGCTGCTTTAGATTTTGTGTCACCTGCCATGTCGGAGTAACCATCAAATAGAATTGACAAAACCCTTTCCACATCCATAAGAAATCTCTGCTAAAATTCACATGTGCAGAGTGAATAAGTGTGAACAAGCCGAAAAACAAGATCCCCATACCGGAGCTCTCCATAGAGCTATTTCTTCCTGGATCAAATGTTAACAACATTGACATCCAAAAGCCTTTGTGGAAGGATATAATGTGCTAGTTAATGTTCTTGCTACAGACCCGTCGCTAGCGTTTTGAATAGGGACTTGTAGCACAGTACTGATATGTGAAAATTATGTATGCCCACCTTGTACACAGAGCGTCATGACATATCTTACCCAGAACAAGAATCAACAAGCCCTGGCTGTGTTTCTATGATACGTTGATGTTTGCGTAACACGAACATTTGGTGCGGTCAAAGAGATAGTATCACGTGTATTTACAACTAACTCGGATCACGTTGTCATTTAGAAATGCACGTTTACATTAAAAATGATAAATTATGTCTGCAATGACATTTGTTGAGTCCTTCGTGGATTTGGCCCTTGGCAATTTAGGGTCTATTTGTTCTCAGGTCAAACCTGGCTCAGTGTTATCGCACAGGGCCTACTTATGCTACAAAGGACTAAGATGATCGTAAGTCACTAAGGAAAAAAATGAGTACACTGTTAAAGAATGTGAGTTAAGGTTATACTAAATAAAGGTTGCTTTGTGAAAGGAGCCCCTGGGTGCTGTTGTACAACACAACCTTAGCGCTAAGATACCTTAAGTCTATGTTAAGGTATGGGAGTTACGGTCACCTTAGCGCTAAGATACCTTAAGTCTATGTTAAGGTATGGGAGTTACGGTCACCTTAGCGCTAAGATCGTTTTGTATAACGGCACCCTGGTCAATACTGAGATATGTCTCCGTACGCGGCACAGCAACACAGATACACCAGGCTCAAAACTTTCCACTATCCCTTGGTAGATCTCAACCAGTGTGGTGGTATCTGTTTAACAGAGTCAATAACAAATGGTGAATCCTCAAACTCCGTGAGTAATGTTAATTTGAACATTCCAAGTTCTCGTTACATTCGTTGATGGCGGCGGGTCATTCATGTGGTGACACTTACATAGGGCCATGTGGTCATTTAGAAATTAACCAAACGAGGTATGTATGTTCACAATGAGAACCGTTCAGTACATTCTGTAACCTTATTTGAGGTCTTCCCATGGCGGTCTTGTGTTCTGATCGTCAGTTGACCACTACCTCAGTCGCATGTTTGGAAGTCTCCACAACCATTCCTAAATGACAGGTAGTTAATAAACAGTGCACACATTTACGAACATTTCTTTCATTTTGGAATGTGACCAGTTCTGAGGAAATGCTGAAATTTAATTGCTTCAATGGCCGAAAAATGGAACTCCTTCTTTAACACATGGTCAGTAAGAGTGACAGCAATGTGACCATCAATCTGATTCTCTTTGAATAAAGACACGTATTTACTTAAGTGTAAATCTTCCATTTTCAAGGCAAGTTCATCAATGCTCAGATCCCTTGTAGGAAGAGTATTAGGATCAGTTCTGCCTACCAAGGCATGAGGGCTATCACAATCAGTTTCAGTCTGATCTTGAACCTGGCTCTGAGCTTGAGTCTGCCAGCTGGAAGTCCAAGACTTCCGTTTTTGTTGCAACCTGGTGTATAGGTTAGCTTGGGTCCCCCGTGCTAAAGGCCAATGCCAGGACCGGGGTACCCCCTTCTTGTCACTGCTTACAGTGTCCACGTGTATAGAGGCACGCTTGGGGATGATCTTTTTCCTGAGCGTGATAAAATGTCCCTTAGCCTGTCTCAGTAGTCCTGTCTTGGGTGACCTCTCTTTCGTGTTCACACAGTCATCTTCATCATGAGACTCTGCAACTGAAGCATACCATTCTCCGTCTTCGCTTGGTACGGCTACGTCCTCGTATACTTCATCATCAGCCTTTGTCTGTGGGTTTTCTCCTGTCGATGATCCAGCACATGCCTTCACTCTCTTCATCTTCAGTTTGACATAGTCGTAAGGTTCGAGGTATTCGTACGGGGTTCCTGATGCCGTTACTGATTCGTTGGCGTACACGGCAATATCTGCAATACAACAATAACGTAATTCAAGTATTCACCAATTTTCAGAGCTCGTGGTTTGTTTGATAACCAACTTGGTTTTGTTGTTTAACAACGCACTCAGCAATATTTCAGCAGCATCACGAGGGCATGTAAATAATAGCTTCTTCATCAGACAATCTAGTGATTGATATTAAAACCAATAATTCACGTCCCAGTACTGGTTTATGGAACCTATTCCAATGCCGACTTACAACGGGGTAATCTGTGAAGGCTTGAGGTGATCTCTGTTATGTGCGATTGGTACTGGGTCATAATAAGTAGTAACCATATTCGAGATAACGACAGACAAGAACAAAACAGTGAGATTACTTAGGATGTTAGTGACGTGTTGTTAACTAGGACTCCAATAAGTCGAAAACTCGTTTAAGACGATACTACTTAGTCGTCCTAATTGCAAAGACATCAGTATGTGTGTAAACAATTGCCACACTGTTTGTCTCAATCTGTGGATAACCTCACGACTTCGGGTCCACGTGGTTTGACAGCAAATGTCACAGTCACAAACTGCCTGGTGAATAGAGAATACATTTAAAAATTGGATTTGCCCAAATCTCCGCCAACGGTATCACCCAAGGTAGTATACCTTCGTATGCCCGGCAGTGTGTGTATATCCGGATGAACTGTCCTTTCAGATTACCAATGTCTGTGAACACTGAACTACACAGTTAGTTACACCAACAGATGAACAAATCGACATCTTCCCCATGACAATGGAGGAAATAAAGTATATCTATCAACCACCCCTTTCGAAGTGACCTCTCATATTATTTTGGGTCCTATTGTTTTACGCCGTCCCTGTCAGCAATAGTACAGTTACGGCTTGTAAATAATCCAGCCTTGACCAGGCATACAAGTGGTTTTACCATGCGCAGCCATGACCGTGAGTCAAGCCACACATTTCAACCAACCGCTCTTTGTGATTTGGCGGCCATCCTGAAAGTGACCTACTCTGCCGGGAATCCTTAGGGTGTTATACCTGTCATACACACCTTCATGTGCCACTGTGTCAAGTTCCATGGCGGCCATCCGTGAGTCAAAGAAGGCCATGAGATTTGTGAAGTACCCTGCAGGCTTTCCCTTAACGCCACTAACGGTACACAAGAGGACATCGTTCAGATACAGGGGGACCACAAAAGGCGTGTCGTCAAGCTGGGCTGTGTTGAACAGAACACAATGGTTTGTTAATTAGGTTAGTTCCCAGTTGTTTCGATAATAATACTCTATTGGTACTTGTAACCATGAAGGAAAATATACAACATAGGCGGAATATATTTATTTTTTACGAAAACATCCTGATCTATAGATATGATGATCAACAAACGCCGTTTATGAGTAAGAGTGGTTGAGAGTGGGTTCGAATCCCGGATGGGACTCGTTCCCAAAACACTAGAATCTGAACTTTTACTGAGACAGTGCAATCCCAAATATATATTAGAGTTGAATGATAGTCGGAAATAATGGATGAAAGTGCCTGTATACTCACTTCTTCAAAACTTGTAAAATATATTGACGCTTAATATCGGCAATGTGCAGTCTATTATATAAGCGTTCACTCGTCACGCTTCAGACCCTACTCCATTCAGTGCACAAAGGGAAGCGCATTCTAGATTTCCTCGGTAATATAACAGAACTCTGCCTCTTCATTCTTTGTTCAAGACTACTACGTATACTTACTTTCATTGACGCCATGCCCCACGAGATATGTAACATCATAAACATCCGTGAGCTGTAGTGGACCAAGGTCAGGGACGTCGGTCTTCTCTCCGTTCAGAGCAAGCGACTTGTCGTCGTCGACGGCGAATTCTACTTCTACCGGTAGAGCATTGTCCCTCAATATATCTCGAAGGCTTTGTTTATCCCCAGCTGAAAATAACAAGCAGAATGTTTTTGATAGATATATATGAAAGATTATATGAAAGATTACACATGCTATATCAAAGGCTGCCGGTTGATGCCATTTCTTGAGGTCTCTTATCTAACGCCGAATGAAAAGTTTAGGTAAAAGAAATGCTTGCCAATTATTCCTCCGATTTGAGTTTGACATACTCTCACTTTCATAATAACTGGACAGAGGTCAGTTCCTTAGATTTGGGCGATCTAAGTTGTGTCTTGCGGGTCACGTGTACTGTGGCTTTGTCCTTCAAATTCACAAGAGCTCGAAATTCGAATTCATCAATGTTTGTCTGGTAATATCTCACAGGAGAAATGTGTTTCAGACAGTTCAATCCTAGCTATGGCGTTTGCTCGTCACGTCCATTACCCACATGGCAACACTGTCTGAACCAATTTCTGGTTTCCCTGTCGAGGATGGCTTAAACCCCAGCTCACTCACTCATCCCCAGCTAACATCAGTTAAAAGACAAAGAAGAATTAATCTTACGTGTGTATTCTTGGTTCAGTTTGAACAGGTGTTGAGAATCGACAGGTATGCTGACTGTAACCTTCTTTTTGGCCTTCGCCATCACTCGTGTCTGTCGACTGAACCTGTGACATCGGATGACCTGCAGACAGCAGGTATACCGTAAAACTACAACAATATTTATTTTACTCATACCGAGTCATGGACACCTATAAGATCTAGGATCCACTAATTCATTTGATTGTTGAGTTGAGTTCTACGTCACATTCCAGCAATATAGTGATTATTTCATGTGAAATATTGCCGAAATCACCCATTCTCAGTTCACAACACACGTGGTCTGTTAATTGAACAAAATATCGTGAATTGTAAAAACAACAGACATGGTAAGACAAGCCTGCTTTGTCGCGATACATCTCTCTCTCTCTCATAATCCTGGGTCAGCTCGACCTGGGACTGATAGGAGACTGTCACACATGGCAATCACAATCAAATTTGTTAAGCAAGCATGATGTCATAAGAGATTAGATACGAATGTCTGATCATGCTCTCTCTCTCTCTCTCTCTCTCTCTCTCTCTCTCTCTCTCTCTCTCTCTCTCTCTCTCTCTCTCTCTCTCTCTCTCTCTCTCTCTCTCTCTCACTCTCTGTCTCTCTCTCTCTCTCCTCTCTCTCTCTCTCTCCCCTTCTCTTCTCATTGTTCTCATTTACTCTCACACCCTGTGTCACGCCCCTTCCCTCCCTCACCTGATAGGCCGGGACTGTCTCCATGTCCGTCAGGCCACACTGACCCTGAGTAATTAGGATCAGTTTGGGCAGGTCGTCCTGGTGTTTATCATAGAATTCCCTCAGAGTGTAGTTCTCGCCATTGTCCGAGAAGAATGCATCCCCCGAGTCCATGGTCGAGCCTCATCAGCAAGATCCAGAAGTACCTTCTGAGATATTATGAATACTTTCTAATATAGTCAAACATGGGTGTATCGAACTGTTATGCGTGGAACGGTTTCTGCAGATTCCTCACTCAGTCATCATATTTATCAGTACGTCGTGGTCACATCACATTTGTGTCGAACCGCGGGTACCTCTAAATATACTATTCACACTTTGCTAAGGATCAAATCATGGATTCAACAGAAAACTATGATGTGGGGTCAAATTTGGTTTAAATATCTAAGCTTATTGTTAGCATGGTTCCTATATTTCAGTATGTCATTGCATCTTATGGATCCCATACCTTCTATTGACAGGTGTTGTTTATTTGTCAGTGACTCGTTCCACGATGTGCAAAATGGTCGATTGGTGCCATGAAAACCATTTTTATGGTTACTCATGTATCAAGTGCTTTAGGTTAGAATGAAGTGGGTGTCTGCTTAAAGAAGGGTTGCCATATTATTATTTATCCACTTTTAAATGGATACAATTTCACATTATAAATCTACGTTTAAATAAAGTTAGTATATTTACGTAGGTACCTTCAACTTCGACACAATGGTGTTTGACGGTATGCATGACGTAACTGGCTTTTTTAAAAGCTTCACAGATTTCCTTGCCAATTATCTCCCTTCTGTTGAACACCAGTTGTCAATCATGGCTGGTAGATCAATGAACACTTATTTTGTCAATAGTGGTAATTCTAAAATACTCCATATTCCATAACACAACCACTTAAGCTGAATAATTGCCAGCAGTGTGAATTTGAAAGTATTCCATGAACACAAAGATTCACATTTAACACCCGTCGAAAGGAAATATGATAAAAATATACTGTAGGACAAAGACATAGACACCCATGCATAACAAGGAATGTTTTGCAGTGGCAATGTGTTCCATACGGTTGACATAGTTGAGTGTCGGACCTTACGTTTGTTGCGGTTCGTACTCTGCTTAAAGCCTAGTAAAGTTTTGATAACTTATTAAATTATACAGTGTATACTTTTTGTGAAGCAGCTTGTCCATATCGTGAAGAAACATCAACATCCATATTGTGAAGAAGGAAACATTTCTGAAACAGCCATCATTTGCATAGCGCTTTCTTTATAGTATTACGTGACCTGTCAGAGCCGTGGTGAACACATTAATCTATGTCTGTGCGCTGGAGGCCCTTTGTCCCACATAATGGAGTACCTTGAGAAGACGGGAACAAACAGGCAGGTATTCAAGTCTGGGTGCACCATGCACGAGGTGCACCTGATGCAGCATATCGGCACACGTAGTAATTTGTTTTCACTGAAGACCATGGTGTCATGCATATACGGGCTCAAAGGGTGTGTATATCTTTCAAGCATGATATGAACAGTTAGATTAAAAATGCGAATTTTAGAAGTAGTTCAGTTGGATTATGTCCAGATCTGAACTCGTGTATACTCTTCGGCAGGTTTGGGTTTAGTCGAATGTTCTAATCTGATATGGCTGTGTAAATTTCAAATGTTTATGGGGTTAACATTGAATGTTTGTGTACCTTCAACACGACACAGATATGTATCAACCTGGATACCCTCTGGACATTGATACTTTTGGGGCGAGGTGACCTCGTGCTACCAAATGCATTGACGAAGATTAAGCTTATATCATGGTTACTATAAATGACGATATACACATAAATTCAAACATTCAAGGCGATCTGGTGACGTAGATTCCATAGAAACATAGGGATTGACCTACCTGGCTGCTGTACCGTGCGGAATGTGGGCCCGCTCACCACAACCTGCTGATATATACATACCGTATTGTCTCTACAGATCTCCACTTGAGTGCCGGTATTTATGCAGGACGACGGTAACGTTTTCACAGAAGAACCGGCTCTCTAATAAGATGCTAATCGGCCACAGCAGCATCGCCCTCTTTCTTTTGAATCCACAAAACGATAAAATGTTAGTAAGGGTAAATAAGTACGAAATTTTCCTGGTGTAATACATTCATTTGGCCGTATATAGGTAGCTAGATGTGTAGATGTGTGCATGTGCATATGCGTGTATGCGTGTGCGGTGTGTGTGTGTGTGTTACTGAATTACGTTGAGAGAGAGAGAGAGAGAGAGAGAGAGAGAGAGAGAGAGAGAGAGAGAGAGAGAGAGAGAGAGAGAGAGAGAGAGAGAGAGAGAGAGAGAGAGAGAGAGAGAGAGAGAGAGAGAGAGAGAGAGAGAGAGAGAGAGTTGTTTTTGCAATTCACGATATTTGTTCAATTAACAGACCACGAGTGTAGTGAACTGAGAATGGGTGATTTCGGCAATATTTCACATGAAATAATCACTATATGGCTGGAATGTGACGTAGAGAGATCGCATGATCAGACCTTCGTATCTAATATCTTATGACATCATGCTTGCTTAACAAATCTGATTGTGATTGCCATGTGTTACAGTCTCCTATCAGACCCAGGTCGAGCTGACCCAGGATTATGAATATGCAATTCTCAAACAGGTTTTACTTACATTGTTATTTGATACTTTTCAACTACTAACTCATCCCGACAGGTGACATTCACTACACGGTAAACTGGGTTCAAGGCACACCAGGCTTCTTACGAGACCCGGCTAACATGAGTTCATGAGTTTAGTTTAGTTTTAGGCCCCTTTGAGCAATATTTGCATGTCATAGGCGCCCGACTCTGATATATTTATAAGTATGACCTATATGTATAAGATATTCTTAAATCTTATACAATATATACTAGGCACATAAAGAAACTGTGCATACAAAAATTGAAAATCTAAATTTATCAAACCTGTGTAGACACAACTGTCATTTTGGAAAGCTCAACCCCTGCCCTTGCGATCGTTCAAAAAATTAAACGGCTATTGAAACGCATAGCATGCCAAGGCTCACGTCTGCACAACGTCATGAGGCCATTGGGATGGTCCGTGGGGGAATGTCTCAACGACAAGTGGCTGCACATTTCCACTGCCACCGGAACACCATTTCTGCACTGGTGAGACGCTACCAGAACACAAATGACGTCATCGATCGGCCACGTTTTGGACGTCCAATTGTAACAACGCCATGACAGGACATATGGATAAGGGTGACCCATCTTCGCCACAGGTTTCAGACTGCAGTGATGACTGCCCGGACCATCCCAGGACTTTCACGGGATCAGACCACGACGTCCCGCCATACGGCCTATCCTGACACAACGTCATCGACAAGCTCGCCGAATGTGGTGCTGAAATCATGTCCGCAGACCCTTGTTTTGGTGGAGAAATGTTGTTTTTACAGATGAGTCCAGGTTTAATATTTTCCATAGTGATGGACGTCAACGTGCCTATAGACGCGTGGGAGAACGTTATGTACAGGCCTGTGTCTTCGAGAGGAATCGCTTTGGTGGTGGTTTTGTGATGATTTGGGGTGGAATAACAGCACGCCAAAGAACTCCTTTGGTGATTGTTCAGGGCAACTTAACTGGTGTGGGCTACTGGTATCAGATTGTTCGACCTCTGGCAATTCCTTTTCTGCAACGTCATGTCCCTGGGTTAACATTCCAACAGGACAATGCCTGCCCTCATACGGCAAGGGTTGCTATGGATTTCTTGCAACACCACAACGTTGACTTACTGCCTTGGCCTACAAATTCACCGGATCTCTCCCCGATAGAGCTTGTTGGGACGAGATGGATCGACGTCTACGCCGTCTTCCTCATCCGCCAGATAACGTCCTTGACCTTGCAACAGAACTTGAGAGAATCTGGCGTGACATCCCACAAGCCTTCCTTGCACGTTTGATAGGCCCTATGCGTCGTCGATGCACTGCTGTTCTCAATGCCGAAGGTGGGCATACCCGTTATTGAGCTTGTGACATGGTCGTTTGACCCCTGTCCCGCTTGTGGACTCGTGACGTCATTGTGATTGACTTTTCCATTGAAATTCTCCCGACTTGTTATGGTCTCATGATCCATTAAAGTTTATATGTACCTTTGACATTGTTATCGTACTTATCAACTGGGATAATATTTTGACAATGCACAGTTTCTTTATGTGGCTAGTAAAAGTCATACTTTTAAATATATCAGAGTCGAGCGCCTATGCTGCATGTGTACCGCTAACTGTTCATATTCCCTTCAAATACACAGAGGGGCGTTGCCCCTAACACAGATATGCCACCCCACACGTTAAATTTCGGACTGTACTTTGGGCGCTGATACAAGGTTTTTCAGTTTGTTTGGTCCAGAATTTCAGTGTATTAGGAAACAGCCACACAGAACTTTCATCTGAGAAAATCACATTGTCCCATTTAAGATTCCTATGCTGTAAGCACCTTCGCTCCTTTTGTTCAGATTTCATGATCGGTGATGGAATTCCTCGACTTTTCTGCCAACCCATTGCATGCAGCTCAGTTCTAATTGTCTCCTTAAAGACAGCCACAGTTCCTCTATCAATCATATCCAGCCTTAAGTTTTCTAAAGTCCTTCGTTTGTTTTTAGAAACAAGAATACCAAGCCGCCTCCTGTCACCGACAGTCAAGTTTCTGGGCCTACCTGCGCCTCCCTGGTGCTCAATGCCATATCCATTTGCAATATTTTTCAAAACACGATAAACAGTGGACAAAGGGATCCTGTTCTACTTGAAATCACTTTAGCTGATCTGATGTCCTTGTTATAATACTCTAAAATCAACTTCCGCTTCTCTAAATCATCCATACTGAGGATCACTGAAAATGTCGTCTGCTAGCAAGTAAACAAAGGGGGATAACTCTTCACAAACTAATGAAAAAGGATTAACGGAGTTTTCTCTCTTGAATGAAACCAAGCACTTGATAGCTGGTCAAGGTTGTTTATACTAGAAATCCAATTAAACATATTCCTAAAATTCTCAATATTGTCTGGTCATACTATACCCTCTTTGTTAGGCAGTGGAGCAAAGATGGCTAGTCTTAACATACGTGATGTACCTGTTGGGCTAACTGACCAGTCCTAATATTATCTATATAAGTAAAATGATTAAATGCAAATCTTTGAAGATAATGGGAAATCTAATCGTTCTACTCTGATACAATAGGATTATGTGTTGTTCTATTTTCTACCCGTTTAGATTTTATGAAAATTCTTAAATTTATAAGTTCTCACTTCACCTACTAATTCTTACTAAGTTGTGCATATCAAATAATCAGAGATACTAGTATCTGAATTTGTCACACGTGGGTCGGTGCTTGTGATATGTGCACTGGTCATGTACCTCAACAGGGTCATTGATGATGATATAAGCAGATATATATGAATTTGTCACTCTCAGTGCAGGTTGACTTTGTTGCATAAACCAATAACTAAAATATGCTTCATGTGTGTGTGTGTGTGTATTTCTCCTTGTGCTTAATGTTGTGTAAAACCTGTTTGATAACGTTGCAAGCATCTAAAGATGTTGTCTATCCATAACAATTTTTCTTCTTCATCATAGGCACTTTGAGAAGTTATTGCTTTGACAAAGAAAGCCTATAGAACTCCTCATTCATTCATTGTTTTTGTTGGTTGGTTGGCTCTTGGTTTCTGACCAACCAAACTCGATTGAATACGTGATATCGAATTAACGCCCCTTGTGACTGCCAGTAATCGATAATCGTGTGTTCGAATCCCAGATTCGCCTTTATTTGTCACCAAAGACCGTGCTGGGGAGTTTGGCAAAAGCAAAAAACGCCTCAGGCCGTGAGTATAAGGAACGTACTGTCAAAGCCACGTTTAGCTCACGCATCCAGTGGTCAGAAATAAATATCCCATAATGTAAGGAAATCCGGGAACCCGTAACATGTGGACACTAGGAGTGTATCGGATGGTCTCAGAGTAACGTTGATTTAATGTATGAAACAAACGTAGATCCATACATAGACCCCTACAAATAACAACAATCATAAACGCACAAAGGATTACATTTTATTCAATCATTTTCACTAACATATAAATCACATACAGAAATGACAAACCAACTAGGACAAGACGTCTTCGCGTGCACGGTGAACATTCAAATTCCCCTAGAGTAAAGAATAAATACTAAAGACTAAAGTCTCGAGAAGCTTATGAAGTGTCGTAAGTGAATTAGGTCGGACTACGTAAGAGGGTTGCTTAACGCTCGTCATTGTAACCTGGCAAGCAATTATTATTGATACTTCAATTTGAACCAATCATGCTCTTGCTGTAAAGTAAATAAGAGAATGTTGTTGTACACCGTTGTCAGCAATATTCCAGATTTATCACGGATGCCTGGTAATGTCTGATCAGACAAACATTAAGGGAATCTGGGACAACACTATCATGAAATTCAGTTTCGTTGTTTGTTTGTTGTTTAACCCAGTACAATGTTCCAGATATATGACGCCGGTCTGTGGATTAGTACGGCAACATGGTTACCAGGGATCGATTCTACCCTGGAATCGTCACACGAGATTTAAGAGTGAGTGAGTTGGGTTTTACGCCACTTTTGGCAATATTCCAGCAATGTCACGGCGGGGGACACCAGAAATGGGCTTCCCACATTGTCACCATGTGGTGAATGGAACCCGGGCATTCGCTTTAACCATCAGGCCACCCCACCGCACATTCGAGATTTAAGACATAATTTATTGTGTATCCCAAGAATAAGTGTGTTTTAATCTTTAAAAAAACAAAACAACAAAAAACCCGCAAGTAGCTAAGTGAATTTGAAACAGCGATACTACTCACGCAATGGCAACTTACACTTATCCAACAGGATCAAACGTCATTCATGACACAGACAATTAACAACAACAACGATACTCTAACCACGTGACACAAGGTCCAGGTCAAAGTTCACCATTACAACGACTCTAGGACCGTCACCGCCAACAACTGTTATGATTGGCTGAAACACTCTGGGTTCAAACTGATATATATGCAATTCAAGAAAACCATCCTTATCGCCAAGATGCCATTAAGTTTCCTCGATATTAGAAAATATCGATAAGAAAAATACGAATTCCTACCAGAAAATGGATGTCCTCATACACCAGGAACTGACTAATTTCCAACATTGCCAACACTTGCCGAACAGAAATACGACAGTTTTACTTTAGAAGAAAAATATGGTGATGCAAAATATAACGTAATCTATTAAACAACGTTAATGATGCCCCACCCCTTGCAGTATATGTAGACATCACATTCATATGGAACATCCTCGCGCTGTCGGTCTGGCACAACCAGCCCTGTAAGGTATGTAGTCTGCAGTATGACGTGTGCAGCGCCATGACATGTAGCATTTGGCTCAGATTCATTAAAGGTACAATCATCCATAATTGTAACAAAACAGATGATCAATTAATAAGTATCAGCCAGAGACTAAACATTTACTCCCTACCTTAATCTGCAATAAAAGCTTAAACAAGGAGACATTTTAGAGTTGTATACAGCTAGCAGTGTATGTATAGGTTAATCACCCCAACAAGGTAGTTTGTTTAAGTAACTACCGTACCTTACACCACGAGGACATACTTATTTAATACGCGTGTAATGTATTAGGCATGATAAAGATTATCAAAATGACTACAAGTTTATAGTTTTTAAATGGAAATAATTGCCCTAGGGCAGTTATTCAGTTATGCTTATAAAACTCTTCCAAGAACAATGGGCATAACTTTCCCTAGTGGTTTAAGAGCAGAGATTGCATATCAAAGTGACCATTATGTTCCAGCCACCCACCCGTGTATTGTCGTTGTAATTGACGCCATATCCAATGACACTCTGTCTTTCCAACACCTTAAAACAATCGATGAAATGTTCATTATCACCCTCCCAAGTTTCTTCGTCATATTAATATCTTCTGGACATAAAACATTTTTTTTATTTCTTTGTATTTTAAGCCAAATATACTCCCGCAACAGAAAATACCATTGTGGACTCTTACAACAGGCCACAAGGAATACTCAGCTTAGTCCATAAATAGGATAACAGCCCGAATCAGCTGCAACAATACAGTAATCAAAGTACTGAATTGTTTGAAAAGGCCCAGACATATCTAGGACTTCATCATAGAACTGTGTGGGCAGGTTCTGAGAGATGAGGCTTATTTAGGGATGTGACCTGACTGGATGTATCCCATCATCTTGATGGCGTCTACTGCACTGAACCCAAAATCATTCTGAAGGATCTCTTTCGTGAGCTCCAAAGCGATGGTGCCGTCAATCAGCTGTTTCTTGAAGGCGGCAATGTGTTTTTCAAGCTTAAGTTCCTTCATCTTCTTGCCAAGTTCAGCGATTGATAAGTCTTTCACAGCCACATTCCCTGGATTTCCCTTTACGCTGGACTTTGCCCCATCCTGCTTACCCTTTAAAAGGCCCTTGAACAGTCGAAAAGGAGCTACTTCTTTTCGAGGAATGTCATTTACGTATCCATGAGCTGTTTCACTTCCGGTAGGCGACGAGGGTTCATTTTTCTGGTCTTTTTCGGGCGACTCCGATTTTGACTTGGATTTCATAGGAGCAGTTTTCGGTTCCCGTTTTGGGATAGGCGGCCGTGGAATGTAGACGTCGTCTTCATTGATGGGTGTATAGATGTTGTCATCGTCATCGACCACACCATATCCATCATCGTCTGTTGCCGACAAACGTTTGAATGTCAGAAATTCTTTTGGTTCGATGTAGTCATAAACGTTGTCCGACAACCCAAGGGACTCATCAGAATAGAAAGCTATATCTGAAAGTAGACATTGGTCGAGTCAGTCAAAACAATATATCGGTGCAAGAATTTCAGCTGTAAAGAGCCGGCCGCCTCCGTAGTGCTGGTTAGATCGTCCGCCCGCAGAGCGGAAAATCGCGGTTTCGATCCCCGGCCGCGTCATACCAACATACGTTAAAATATAGACTAACGTTTAGTCCCTGAATACATATAATTTTGATAGTAGCAAATAAAGCCATTTAAATTGAAAAGGAGCCCCAGTGAGACCAGAGGAAATCTAGACTTGCTTCATTTAGGGCTTCAGCATTGCAGGGAGGGCTAAGCATTGGTGAAAATATTGTGGTTCAGGGACTGTGAGACAGACTAGTTAAAATATGGCGCTCTGCATTAATGGGTACAACAAGGACTGGTCGGCTGTGAGTCAGTATAATGTGTCTGAGTGGGGTATTCATGCTTAACTGCGGCCTGGTATCTCTGTGAGCTAGCACTATAACAAAACAGCGTACGTCTGGGCTAGTACAAGCACTACGACGTTAAACTCCATTCCACATCACCTGTAAACAGCAGATGCAGATACTCAGGGACAATGTACATAACTTAGTTACACCTGAAATCCATGGTAATAGAAACTGATGGTGCGTATATCGATAAATTCAGGCGGTTATTTAGACTGACTGACTGACTGAGTTTGGTTTTACGCCGCTTTTAGCAATATTCCAGCAACATCACGGCGGGGAACACCAGAAATGGGCTTCACACATTGTACCCATGTGGGTCTTCGGCGTGACGAGCCAACGCTTGAACCATTAGGCTACCCCACCGCCCCCGGTTATTTAGAAAGTGGAGATAGTACTATACACAATCCTAACTACATCATTGTCCTTCAAGATTTAAAGTAAACGGGAGAGGTTTCCAAAACATTGCAGCTGGGGTTTGGGTTAGTATTTAACACTGGGTGACACTTACCTTTGTTTCCGACGTTGAGATCCACTTGAACAGACTTCATCTCCTCTGCGAGGAAGAGCTCGTACTCCTTCCACTCTTCCTCGGTCTTCCCCTCAAGGCCCGTTGCGAAGGCAATCAACAGGTCTTTAAGATACACCGGAACTAGAACCGACTTCTTGTCAATAGTTCCTGCAACACACGCATAACAATACAGAAAGATGTAAGACAAGTAGCAGTTTCTGGAGACCTTCAATATTTTTAATGTATTCCAGCATCAGACACTCAACTATGAAAAAATGCATCCGCAAGGCTGAAAATAGGTTTAACGTGGACATGGAAATGAAAATTACACACTTCATGGTGCGGCGTTAAAGAGCACCCACCCACCCACTCACTCACCGAAAAACCCCACCCACCCACTCACTCACTCACTCACCCACCCACCCACCAACTCACTCACCCAATCACCCACCCACTCACTCACCCAACCACCCACTCACTCACTCACCAAACCACTCATTCACTCACTCACTCACCCATCCACTCACTCACACACCCACCCACTCACTCACCAAACCAACCAACCACTCACTCACCCACCCACCCACTCACTCACACTCACTCACTCACCCAACCACCCACTCACTCACTCACTCACACACTCACTCTCCTACTTGCTCAGTTCCTCGTTCGGCAAAGCGACCTTACTGCTACGTAGCCTATCTTACTTTGAGGGTGCCCGGGGCCTATGTGGTAGCCTATTGGATAAAGCGTTCGCTCGTCACGCCGTGAACCGGGTTCGCTTCCCCATGGGTACAATATGTGAAGCCCATTTCTGATGTCCCCCGCTGTGATATTGCTGGAATATTGCTAAGAGCGGTGTAAAACCATACTTACTCACTTGCTTACATGCCCATGGGTTCGTTGACTGAGCTCTATTCCCACTCACTTGTATTGATACAGTTAGCGATCATGTAGGACTCCTCGTACTCCTCCACCAGCGCCCAGTTGCTGATGTTTTGGACTTTCTGTTGGTCACAGCCGATATGGAACGTGTAGTCTTTCGGGACGGCAAACTTTACCTGTAAGGGCAATTCATTCTCGTCCAGTAGCTCCTTCAGGCTTTGCGCGGGTCCAACTAGGAAGCAAAATACATTATTGCAATTACATATATATATAGTCGTTGTGTCATCAGCAGAGTGTTTCAGATATATTCTGGTGAGTTTTGTAGTAATCAATTGATGCAGGTCCGTTGTACGTTTTTCGACAAAATCCAGTTCGTATATCCGTGAGTTCGGTATAAGCCTAGGTTACTGTAACGGATGCGTTTAAGGGTTGGACAAAACGGATTCAGTGCCTCTACCTTCGTAGGACAATGTCAATGTCGGAGATACTTTACAGCAATATGGTCGCTTTACGGACCACACATTTACAAGTAACATGACAACAATACCTAAAATCAATCACGCCAAACAAATGTTTAACCGGTCGAAACAAAGTTCAATTATTGCCAAATCATATAACGTCTTCAATTTCTGGTAGAGCGAGTGCTTGAACAGACCAAAACCTACATTGTTGTGGCATCTTTCTTTTGTTCAATGGGCACAATGTGTGAAGCCCATTTCTGGTGTCCCCCGCCGTGATGTTGCTGGAATATTGCTAAAAGCGGCGTAAAACCAAACTCAGTCAGTCAGTCAGTCTTTTGTTCAAACCACATCTTGGGTCAGTAAGCGTACCTTTGCCTCTGGACTTGACCACCTGAAACTTCATGGAGTAGTCTCTCGGGATGCTAAAGGTCCTGCCGAGGTTGTCTCGGGCCACCACTCGCGTCTGTTGCGTGGTTGTGTGAATGTACATCACCTGGTCACACACAAGGAACATCAATGTTAAGTGAACCCACCCAAACTACACCCCCCTCAAACCACGTCGTCTACATATCGACTTATATCGCCCTCTGGTACAGCCTGTCCCCTACACCCAGACATTGAGATGTCAACCGTCACCCACCTCGAGTATACCCCTATCTACTTCCACCCATGGAGATACAGACAACCGTCACCCACCCCGAGTACACCCCGACAAGTACCCCGAGTACCATTATCTACTTCCACCCACGGAGATACAGACAACCGTCACCCACCTCGAGTATATCCCTACCTACTTCCACCCATGGAGATACAGACAACCGTCACCCACCCCGAGTACACCATTATCTACTTCCACCCACGGAGATACAGACAACCGTCACCCACCCCGAGTACACCCCTATCTACTTCCACCCATGGAGATACAGACAACCGTCACCCACCCCGAGTACACCATTATCTACTTCCACCCACATGGAGATACAGACAACCGTCACCCACCCCGAGTACACCCCTATCTACTTCCACCCATGGAGATACAGACAACCGTCACCTACCTCGAGTACACCCCTACCTCTATGCCTGGTCCCTGATAGACGTGGATAAATAGGAAAGGCTTACTTGGCCGGAGCAGAAGGTTTCAAGGTCGATGTCTCCAAGGCTGCCTTGTGTTGCCACCACGGTTTTGGGGAGGGAGTTTCTGAACTGCTCATAAAACTCCTTCATGGTGTAGTCATCGTCCCCCTCTATGAAGCGAAGAGGTACCTCCTGTTCCCTCTTCGGCGGCCTCTTTCTGCAGAACAGAACCAGATACAATCATCAATAACAGGACACAGCGAAAACATTACGGTTATCAGTAACAAGACTAGGCATTTGGATAACGGCAACCGCCACTAAGAGAAATGGAGCAACCATACATCAAGACGAGACACACTGATGACTGACACAAGTATCAGGAGCAGACACGGGGAACATCTGTCCCGACAAGGACCCACATGTGGATAACGAGTATCATTAACAGGGCCAGACACTTGAACAGCGGCCATTATGTGGAGGATAACAGCCATCAATAACGGGACCCGACAACAGACAAGAATACCAGGTAGAGACACATGGGAAACAATCAGGACTACGCACTTGGATAACAGCTATCAATACTAGGACCACCCACTTGGATATCAGCTATCAATACTAGGTCCACGCACTTGGATACCAGCTATCAATATTAGGACTACGCACTTGGATAACAGCTATCAATACTAGGTCCAGCACGCACACTTGGATACATCAGCTAGGACCCACTTGGATATCAGCTATCAATACTAGGACCACGCACTTGGATATATTGGGACTACGCACTTGGATAACGGCTATCAATAGGTCCACGCACATCTATCAATACTAGGACCACCCACTTGGATATCAGCTATCAATACTAGGTCCACGCACTTGGATACCAGCTATCAATATTAGGACTACGCACTTGGATAACAGCTATCAATACTAGGTCCACGCACTTTGATACCAGCTATAAATACTAGGACCACGCACTTGGATAACATCTATCAATACTAGGTCCACGCACTTTGATACCAGCTATCAATACTAGGTCCACGCACTTGGACAGCACAATATCACCACGCACTTGGATAACAGCTATCAATACTAGGTCCACGCACTTGGATACCAGCTATCAATACTAGGACCACGCACTTGGATAACAGCTATCAATACTAGGTCCACGCACTTTGATACCAGCTATCAATACTAGGACCACGCACTTGGATACCAGCTATCAATACTAGGTCCACGCACTTGGGATAACAGCTATCAATACTAGGACCACGCACGGATACCAGCTATCAATACTAGGTCCACGCACTTTGATACAGCTATCAATACTAGGACCACGCACTTTGGATACCAGCTATCAATATCCAGTAACAGCTATCAATACTAGGACCACGCACGCTTTGATACCAGCTATGCTAGGTCCACGCACTTTGATACCAGCTATCAATACTAGGACCAGCCGCAATACTTGGATACCAGCTATCAATACTAGGACCACGCACTTGGATACCAGCTATCAATACTAGGTCCACGCACTTGGATACCAGCTATCAATACTAGGACCACTCACTTGGATAACAGCTATCAATACTAGGTCCACGCACTTGGATACCAGCTATCAATACTAGGACCACTCACTTGGATGACAGCTATCAATACTAGGTCCACGCACTTGGATACCAGCTATCAATACTAGGACCACTCACTTGGATACCAGCTATCAATACTAGGTCCACGCACTTGGATAACAGCTATCAATACTAGGTCCACGCACTTGGATAACAGCTATCAATACTAGGTCCACGCACTTGGATAACAGCTATAAATACTAGGTCCACGCACTTGGATAACAGATTTCAATACTAGGACCACGCACTTGGATACCAGCTATCAATAATAGGACCACGCACTTGGATACCAGCTATCAATACTAGGACCACTCACTTGGATAACATATATCAATATTAGGTCCACGCACTTGGATACCAGCTATCAATATTAGGACTACGCACTTGGATAACAGCTATCAATACTAGGTCCACGCACTTTGATACCAGCTATTAAAATTAGGACTACGCACTTGGATACCAGCTATCAATGCTAGGTACACTGCACTTGGATAACAGATATCAATATTAGGTCCACGCACTTGGATACCAGCTATCAATACTAGGACCACGCACTCGGATAACAACATCTATCAATACTAAGACCAGGCGCTTGGATAACAGCTGTCAATATTAAGACTACGCACTTGGAAAACAGCTATCAATATTAGGACTACGCACTTGGATATCAGCTATCAATAATAGGACCGGGCACTTGGATAACAGCTATCAATACCAAGACCAGGGACAATGATAACAGCTGGCTATATTAGGACCAAACCTTCAGCCGAGATGGCCGTGTCCAATTATTCTTGTCAGAGGGGTACGCAAAGTACGTTTTTTTTTGTGCTGGCGAATAGGTGCCTAACTCTGCAAGTGAGGGTCCGAATCACGGATGGAACTCAACCCCAAACTATTCGAATTTGTACTTCACTGAGGAAGTGTAATCCCAAATATAGCAAATGGTACCCACTTGGGTAACATATATCAACAGCAGGATAAGAGGCATATAACAGCGAGCAGATAATAATAAAAGCCCTCACTAACTGGACCACGAGTACATAACTCCTGTAACTCATATACCTGGCCAGGGAAACTTTTTTATTGGGAGGAACCTGTTCACATTTCATATCCCTTTAACTAGGCTAATGACAGGCAGAGATGCACTCGAGTATTGTAAATAATTCTTCTCCTCCAACATTAACCCTATTTTCTTCATCTCTTCACTTATTGTTGAAACTATGATCTGAAAATGTTTTCTGCAGGGTTTAAGACAGCGTGTGTCCGGTACACACGAGTTACGAGTGGAACATGGAAATCTAGCAAAAAATCATTTTACTTTTGCTGGGGGACGAAAGATTGCCTCTATTTCCAGCGCAACTCGCAGTGTTTGGTGGGCCAAGAAACCAGGAAACACACGATGCATGCTAAACAATGAAGACCTTTCATTGTCGTTTAAGTTAGTGTGCGTCGGATGTTTGGACAGCATCTCTTTCTGAACGTGTGTGGGAAGTGGAGCTGTCCGTGTGCCTGTGAGTTATCGCCCCTGGTCGAGTCCATGACGTCTCGACTCGAGTTCTTCTCATCCGACTCATGCTCAATCTCTCAGTCACCGTAAAATTAGGCTGTAATAGCCATGACAAGTACAAGCAAACTTCTTTTATCATAGTCTACTCTGAGCAAATCAGACGTCATTTCCTGTTTGGCTGCATCTCTTAACTATAGCACTTTCAGATGAAAATAGTAGAAAATGGCGACCGCGCGGGGTCAGCAGGATGTATTCATCAGATAACACTCCAAACAGCCCAAGAACACTTGCATTACAATGCGTTGTTCGCAAATATGTACGAATATTCGTGACTGTCCTGATACGTTAACATCACATTGGAGTTGAGCAATATTTGAGGTACAAATCGGCCTCTGTTGGTTGACAAAATGAAATAATAACACTCTTTTTGGGGTACTTTTGTTGTAAAGACAACACATGCCATTTCTTCTGCTCTACTTCAATGAGATAAAGTTTCAAATATATATCGTAAAATTGTCTGGACGAGTTCACAAGTTGCAATCCATGCTATTCACTATCAGCCATATCGTCCTGCAAGTCAAGCTTTTTGTCTTTTATAGCCTGCACGAGTAAAGAAAAAGTGTTGGTAAATACTTCAAAAATAAAATTTCCAAATCTCCAAGTAGAATCACTTCTGTCCATCGTCGTTCACCACTGCATACATGTACATCGATTGTCTCCCTTATCGTGTTATCCGTTTGACATATATTGGTTATCATGTTCTTATTTCTCTTGTCTACCCAACTATTGAACTAGCTGTAAACTGTGTATGCAAGGTACATCGAGTACGTTCATCCATACAGCAATGGGGTCATCGTTGTCATGGTTACTGTGACAGTCATGTACTCCAGCTGTAGATGCCGCCAGGACGGAGACCGCGTTCTGACTTGACTGGACGAGATGGAATCGATCTCGATTCTCTTCCTGGCTATTATTATACCTGACTAAAGAAAGTCTGTACACAGATGGCAACTGAATCGTTATCTGTGATAACACATTCAGTCATGTAACCATGGACTGGCCTCCTCTTGACAAGGTAAGCTAGTGGCTTTACCGGTGCAAACGGCGATACTATTTATTACTGAACTAAAACAGTCCTCACACATTCCTCCAGACACACTCTCTTCCTCAACCCTTCTTCCAGACTCACTCTCTTCTTCACCCCTTCCTCCAGACACACTTCCTTCCTCACCTATTCCTCTAGGCTCCTATCCTTCTTCACCCCTTCCTCCAGACACACTGTCTTCCTCACATCTTCTTCCAGACACACTCCCTTCCTCACCCCTTTCTCCAGACACACTCTCGTCTTCACCCCTTCTCCCAGACACACTCTCTTCCTCACCCCTTCCTCCACACATACTCTCGTCCTCACCCCTTCTTCCAGACACACTGTCTTCCTCACCCCTTCTCCCAGACACACTCTCGTCTTCACCCCTTCTCCCACACACACTCTCGACCTCACCCCTTCCTCACACACACACTCTCTTCCTCACCCCTTCCTCCAGACACACTCTGCTTTTCACCCATTCTCCCAGACACCTCTTCCTCACCCTTCTCTCCCAGACATACTCTCTCTTCCTCAACCGCTTTCTCCCAGACACACTGTCTTCCCTTCTTCTTCTAGACCCTTCCTCTGCCTTTCCCCAGACACACTCTCGTCTTCACCCCCTTTCTCCCAGACACACTCGTCCCTCACCCCTTCTCCCACACACACTCTCGTCCTCACCCCTTCCTCCAGACATACCTGTCTCACCTCCCTTCTCCCAGACACACTCTCGACCTCACCCCTTCTCTCAGACATCTCTCTGCAGACCTCACTGTCTTCTCCTCATTATACCTCACTCCTTTCCCTCACTCCCTTCCTCACCTCTTCTCCCAGACACACTCTCGTCTTCACCCCTTCTCCCCATTACCAGACACTCCTCGACCTCAACCCTTCTCTCCTGTGACATACTCTCTTCCCTCACCCCTCTTCTCCCAGACACACTGTCTTCCCTCACCTTCTCCCAGACACACACTCTCTTCCCCACCCCTTCCTCCCCACACACTCTCTTCTCCACCACCCCTTCTCCAGACACCCTGCCCTCCTCACCCCCTTCTCCCAGACACACTCTCTTCCTCACCCCTTCTCCTCAAGACATACTCTCGTCTTCACCCCTTCTCCCAGACACACTCTCTTCCACGTCCTTCCTCAGACCCACTCTCTCCAGACACACTCTCGTCCTCACCCTTTCTCCCAGACACACACCCCTGTCTTCCTCACCTCTCTCCCAGACACACTTCTCGTCCTCACCCCTTCTCCCCAGACACCTCTCTCTCCCTACCCCTTTCTCCCACACCCACTCTCTTCCCTCACCCCTTCCTCCACAGACACACTGTCTTCCTCACACCCTTCTCCCAGACACACTCTGTCTTCCCACCCCTTCTCCCAGACACACACACTCTCGACCTCACCCCTTTCTCCCACACTGTCTTCCTCACCCCTTCTCCCAGACACACTGTCTTCACCCACCCTCCTCCCAGACACACTCTCTTCCTCACCCCTTCTCCCAGACACACTCGTCCTCACCCCTTCTCCCCCAGACACACTCTCATCCTCACCCCTTCTCTCCAGACAGCACTCTCTTCCCTCAACCCTTCTTCCAGACATACTCTCTTCCCCACCCCCTTCCAGACACTGTTCCTCCCTCCCTCACCCCTTCTCCCAGAGTTGCCCTCCCTTTCACCCCTTCCTCCCACACATGCCCTCGTCCCCACCCCCTTCTTCCAGGACTCACTGTCTCCACACCCCTCTCCGAGACACACCTCTTCCCCACCCTCCCCTCCACACATACTCTCGTCCTCACCCCTTCTCTTCCAGACACACTGTCTCTCCCTTGCACTCTTCTCCCAGACACACCTCGTCTTAACCCCTTCTCACAGACACACCCCTTCCCACCCCTTCCCTCCACACATACCTCGTCCCCACTCCCCTTCTCCCATACACACTCCGCCCGACGACGACGCCGACTTGTCCTGACGCCCGGAAACCGACGCGCCGCCGACACGACGCGACGCGCCTGACGCCGACGCCTGATGACGAGACACACTGTTTCTCTCACCCCTTCTCCCAGACACACTGTTTTCCTCACCCCTTCTTCCAGACTCACTCTCTTCCTTATTCCTTCTCCCAGACACACTGTCTTCCTCACCCCTTCTTCCAGACTCACTCTCTTCCTTATTCCTTCTCCCAGACACACTGTTTTCCTCCCCCTTCTCCCAGACACACTGTGTTCCTCACCCCTTCCTCCAGACTCACTCTCTTCCTTATTCCTTCTCCCAGACACACTGTCTTCCTCACCCCTTCTTCCAGACTCACTCTCTTCCTTATTCCTTCTCCCAGACACACTGTTTTCCTCACCCCTTCCTCCAGACTCACTCTCTTCCTTATTCCTTCTCCCAGACACACTGTTTCCTCACCCCTTCTCCCAGACACACTGTCTTCCTCACCCCTTCCTCCAAACATACTCTCGTCCTCACCCCTTCATCCACACGCACTCTCGTCCTCACCCCTTCCTCTAGACACACTGTCTTCTTCACCCCTTTCTCCAGACACACTGTCTTCCTCACCCCTTCCTCCAGACACACTGTCTTCCTCGCCCCTTCCTCCAGACTCACTCTCTTCCTTATTCCTTCTCCCAGACACACTGTTTTCCTCACCCCTTCCTCCAGACACGCTCTCGTCCTCGCCCCTTCCTCCAGACACACTGTCTTCCTGAACCCTTCCTCCAGACACGCTCTCGTCCTCACCCCTTCCTCCAGACACACTGTCTTCCTGAACCCTTCCTCCAGACACGCTCTCGTCCTCACCCCTTACTCCAGACACACTGTCTTCCTGAACCCTTCCTCCAGACACACTCTCGTCCTCACCCCTTACTCCAGACACACTCTCTTCCTGAACCCTTCCTCCAGACACACTCTCTTCCCCACACATCCACATAATCGCCCATGAGGTCACGTACTCCTCCACCAATTCAATCACTCCCGACGTGACTCCAACAATTGGTCAATCCATCCATCAATCCTTCCTACCTTGGCACAATTTCCGGCGGCTTGTCGTCAGTCATGATGGCGCGGGTCAGCTGACACAGTGTGTGGAGTTTGTGGAGAAGGCCTCACATCACTGAAAAGGGAAATATTATTGTATATACTCATTTCCCATTTAGTTTCCCGTCTGCACTAATGTTATGGGAACATACGTAAAACACTGACAAGGCGCCATGGGAATACTGAAATGACGACAATCGTGTCAACGCTGGCAGACCGATAAGGTCCCCTGTTACTACATAGTATTTCATCACGGAAGTCCTCTTCAAAATGCCAACCCTAAATCTATAACTCTTCATGCAAAGTTTACCAAAGAAGCGTTTGTGTTCTGTGTTCATTAATGTAAATATATCTGTACATATCTTCAACGTATATGCTGTGAATATATGTTATACATACGTTGAGAACCTGAGCACGTTGTATGTACAATGTATATATCTTGTATTCATATTGTACTTGGGCCTGTTGGCTTTATCCTGAATAAATTCTTCTTCTTCAAAGGTTTTTCCTTTTATTAGAAAAGTCATAAATTATGAGAATAGCTTTGTCACTTCACTCGTAACATTATGTCACATTCTGTGGAGATCGGTATCAGCATTCACATACTGATATAAGTAAATGATATCATTCGAACAACCGTTGAATACATTGACGGTCTACACACAGGTGTTTCAGGAAGTATCAGGAACAGATCCTATATAGCCAGTGTTGACTGGACCGTGTACGTGATAAATGGCGTGATATTCTGTGGGGAAATATATTATGGCGCCAACTGATTCTTCCGTCTAGTAAAAATATGAAGCGACGTTTGTCAAACATAAATCAAAGGTAATGAAGGCTACTTTAGGACTTAGGTCCTTACTCCTGGGGCTTGCGTCCCTACCGATAAGGCTTATGTCCCTATTATATACAGACCTTTAGCCTGTAATAACGATAAGATGCGGATGATGGGGATGGCATTAGGATGGTATGTCTACCAGATGAAAGACTACACAACGCAGCGGTGTGCGGTGTGGATGGCGCCGACGGGACCGGATATATATATTAGCTATTTGCAGCCCTCCGCCGTAAAAGTAAAAGCAGACGGGCAAAGCATAGGCAAGTTTGTACTTCCTACCGCGGAGACAGCAGGCAGGAAAAGCAGGCTGATCAGGCATTGGAAATTTTTTGTACTTCCTCCCGCGGAGACAGCAGGCAGGAAGGTTTGGGCTGCCACTGTGAAAGCAAAAGCCAAGTATCCCCCTTTTTAAGCCGATTTAGTGTTTAGTCCCGTCGGCACCATGACCGCCGCACCTGTTTATTAAGAAAGAAGCAAAACACAAAGGTTATGGTCCAGGTTATGCCTACTGTGGACTGTACAGTGAAGACTTAATATAAGTCGTGCATTTAACGACCTCAGCGCCCAGCACCCCCACCCCCCGGATAATGTACTCTAGCAGGGAAGGGTGGGTGGGAGTAGGTATATACCGTGCTTTGAAGTGTATGTTGTTTTGAAAGCATATGAGGACCATTCGCCTGAGCAGTTTCATTACCCTTTCCCCTTTGGCAGTGTGCCTATTGATAATACTCACCACGGCCTGGTTGTCACAGAACATTAGTACCCTTTTGTTGGCCAGACTGCTGCCCAGAGGGCTTTGCTTCGACCACACACCCGTTTTGTGCGGATATATCGTCAACCATTTGTGTCAAGATCGGTTAGTTGAGAGTCAAACTCGGGTTTCAATCGACTTGCAGAAATAACATAAAGAATTGGTAGTTGTCATGAGTGGTGCTCGATAGGCCAATCATCCATGATTATGTTTCCATTCAGTTTTAATGGATTGCATGCGATGGTAGCGTAGCGATCGGCAAAGCAGTCGGGTGGGGTGCACCGAAGTGTCCGGCCTTGTCATGATGTATTGTACTGTGAAACATTTAGAGTCGGGGGTCATCTCAAAAACAATAATTATTAATTAATCCTCGCAAAGACACGAGGGCCTGTGGATTAGACTACTCCTGCTCACGACTGGGGGAAGCTGGGAATCCCCGCTTCAAGCTGCGCGAACCTAGTCGCTGCGCATGCGCAATGAGCGCAGTGCAGCGCAGCGCAGCACAGCTGTTGAAACCGCTTTTCACCCCAGCTGGGGTGAATTTAGTGAATCGTTTGAACTCCGATTTCGCGGTTGAATTAAGTTGAATTTGTATCTTTGGTAATTTGTTACTGTAAGTCCATACCGAAAGGTATCAGAATCTGCAAAGTTGTGTTTACGTTGCAAAAAGAAAAAAATATGTTTCATGAACAATTTCATTTTAAAGTGAAAATATATCAAGGTTTGAAAACATAAAGGTGTAACTAGAGCGACCAATAGGCAACGCTTGAACAAATCTATCCCTTATATTTCAACGTGGGAAACTAAACAGGTAGAACTAACTGCCTGGACGGAGTGATCATTCACAAGGCATCACATAATTCTGAAACGACTGTTCTTTGGAGAGTCACACAACATGTCGACAGTGATTGTAATTTTAAAAAAAAAAGTATTCGTCGATATACTTTGTCCTTAATGTCATGAAGTTTCGTACAATGAGTTGTGTTCGTCTATGAACTGATACTGAAGCAAAGGCAAATCATAAGGAATATCCGACCTTTCGTCGTGAACAAATGTCTGGACATTGTAAGCTGATCAACCACTCATGTGGAGAACCTTGTATGCATATCAATCATTCATGTGGAGAACCTTGTATGCATATCAACCACTCATGTGGAGAACCTTGTATGCATATCAATCATTCATGTGGAGAACCTTGTATGCATATCAACCACTCATGTGGAGAACCTTGTATGCATATCAATCACTCATGTGGAGAACCTTGTATGCATATCAACCACTCATGTGGAGAACCTTGTATGCATATCAATCATTCATGTGGAGAACCTTGTATGCATATCAATCATTCATGTGGAGAACCTTGTATGCATATCAATCATTCATGTGGAGAACCTTGTATGCATATCAACCACTCATGTGGAGAACCTTGTATGCATATCAACCATATGGAGAACCTTGTATGCATATCAACCACTCACGTGGAGAACCTTGTATGCATATCAACCATTCATGTGGAGAACCTTGTATGCATATCAACCACTCATGTGGAGAACCTTGTATGCATATCAACCACTCATGTGGAGAACCTTGTATGCATATCAACCACTCATGTGGAGAACCTTGTATGCATATCAACCACTCATGTGGAGAACCTTGTATGCATATCAACCACTCATGTGGAGAACCTTGTATGCATATCAACCACTCATGTGGAGAACCTTGTATGCATATCAACCACTCATGTGGAGAACCTTGTATGCATATCAATCATTCATGTGGAGAACCTTGTATGCATATCAACCACTCATGTGGAGAACCTTGTATGCATATCAACCACTCATGTGGAGAACCTTGTATGCATATCAACCACTCATGTGGAGAACCTTGTATGCATATCAACCACTCATGTGGAGCATATCAACCACTTGTATGCATATCAACCACTCATGTGGAGAACCTTGTATGCATATCAACCACTCATGTGGAGAACCTTGTATGCATATCAACCACTCATGTGGAGAACCTTGTATGCATATCAACCACTCATGTGGAGAACCTTGTATGCATATCAACCACTCATGTGGAGAACCTTGTATGCATATCAACCACTCATGTGGAGAACCTTGTATGCATATCAATCATTCATGTGGAGAACCTTGTATGCATATCAACCACTCATGTGGAGAACCTTGTATGCATATCAACCACTCATGTGGAGAACCTTGTATGCATATCAACCACTCATGTGGAGAACCTTGTATGCATATCAACCACTCATGTGGAGAACCTTGTATGCATATCAACCACTCATGTGGAGAACCTTGTATGCATATCAACCACTCATGTGGAGAACCTTGTATGCATATCAACCACTCATGTGGAGAACCTTGTATGCATATCAACCACTCATGTGGAGTGTATGGAGAACCTCATGTTGTATGCATATCAACCACTCATGTGGAGAACCTTGTATGCATATCAACCACTCATGTGGAGAACCTTGTATGCATATCAACCACTCATGTGGAGAACCTTGTATGCATATCAACCACTCATGTGGAGAACCTTGTATGCATATCAACCACTCATGTGGAGAACCTTGTATGCATATCAACCACTCATGTGGAGAACCTTGTATGCATATCAACCACTCATGTGGAGAACCTTGTATGCATATCAACCACTCATGTGGAGAACCTTGTATGCATATCAACCACTCATGTGGAGAACCTTGTATGCATATCAACCACTCATGTGGAGAACCTTGTATGCATATCAACCATTCATGTGGAGAACCTTGTGCATGCATATCAACCATATCATGTGGAGAACCTTGTATGCATATCAACCACTCATGTGGAGAACCTTGTATGCATATCAACCACTCATGTGGAGAACCTTGTATGCATATCAACCACTCATGTGGAGAACCTTGTATGCATATCAATCCACTCATGTGGAGAACCTTGTATGCATATCAACCACTCATGTGGAGAACCTTGTATGCATATCAACCACTCATGTGGAGAACCTTGTATGCATATCAACCACTCATGTGGAGAACCTTGTATGCATATCATATGGAGAACCATCTCATGTGGAGAACCTTGTATGCATATCAACCACTCATGTGGAGAACCTTGTATGCATATCAACCACTCATGTGGAGAACCTTGTATGCATATCAACCACTCATGTGGAGAACCTTGTATGCATATCAACCACTCATGTGGAGAACCTTGTATGCATATCAACCACTCATGTGGAGAACCTTGTATGCATATCAACCACTCATGTGGAGAACCTTGTATGCATATCAACCACTCATGTGGAGAACCTTGTATGCATATCAACCACTCATGTGGAGAACCTTGTATGCATATCAACCACTCATGTGGAGAACCTTGTATGCATATCAACCACTCATGTGGAGAACCTTGTATGCATATCAACCACTCATGTGGAGAACCTTGTATGCATATCAACC